TAACGGATTAGAATAGCCAGTCTGTCTGATTGTATAATATATTAGATACATTTTAAATTCCTTGGGAAATGAAAAATAGTTTTTTCTGGCTGTTTAATGAAAACATAAAAATAAAAAGATGAAAATTTCCCATTCATTAACATCTAAATACCCCTAGTGGTATGGGCCGTGTGATTGCTACAAATGGACATGCATAATAGATGATGTATTTGAAAGGTGGCTTTGCCTCGATGTATTGGTTAATGAATGATATTATAAACTTTATTGATCGTGAATTCACCTTTCCAAATTCAAATCCCAAATAAATAAAGCACACAATTCAAGCGTGACACAAAAAGAGCAAAACTGAAAACCCTTTAACCTATAGTGCCCGACATTATGTTAATAAATAATTTCTACATGTTGAAATATATTGCTATTTGATTGAGTTCAAGACAAAACTTTTTGGAATTGTTTCACATAATGTAATATTCCTCGGATTTGGTGCATACAGATGTTTTACAATCAGAGACAAGGGTCTTATACGGGGTATTATATTTGGCAAACCAATCAATAAGTAGTATTAAATTATCACAAGGTAAATAACTTAATCCCTTTTAAAATTGCGGTTAAGTAGCATCTTAATTACAGTAAAGAAAGATCATCTAGGAATTATTTCTGCCTCTCATTCCTTAAACCGGCTTCGTTAAACAGTGTCAAGATATTTAAGTCAGAGCCAAAAACAAGACTATTTTTATATTTAAATCCCCTCACCTTGTCAATGTTTATGTCTGCATCTGGTTTTTCCTACCTTTTGGAGGGAGACAATATACACATAGATTAATTACTGGCCATGGACAGGGGGCACAGAAACGAACATTCTGGGATCATTAGGGATAATTGGGGAAGGGGGATGGGTGGTGTTGAATAGAAAAGTCCGGGAGTGAAGTTAAGGGGTCCTGAAATCTTTCTTTTGATATTCAGTGCTTGAATGGAGACTTGTTTCCACTCCCCGCACTCTAGTAGAATTTAAATATTTGATCCAAAGGAGTTATTTTTAATCAAAAATCAAAAATGATTAAATGCTTGCTGCATGCAAACATACTACACTTAAATTGAAATGCTTTACTTAGTTAATTAACGCAGTAGTCACATGACACACGGATAAGACGTACCTGGGCCGAGGATAAGCAATATTTATCTCTCAATAGGTATGATAAGTGTGAACTTTTTATTCCTGAGAATTAGTAGTTAGTAGTGCTTATTACTTATGGATAAGACATTAAGTATTCTTTCTTAGTAGTGCTTAGAAAATAGTGTTTCACGTTGTGAAACTTTTTGATTTAGAGAATCCCAAACAGAGTAATCCATTGGATTACAGTCTGGACTTTGTGGAGGCCATTCGACCTTTTTGATAAATGCTGGGGTGGATCTCTCCAGATACGCCTGGGTCACCCCACTTGTGTGGGAAGGGGCCCCACTTTGTTGAAACACATAGTCATTTCTAGGGTAAATCCTCCTATAATCAGGTAGCAGATTTTCATCTCATAACTTAATATAGCTTACACTGTTGACTTTGGCTTTGCCAGTATTAATGAAATAAATGTCCGTCTTCCCCTTCCAGGATACTCCTGCAGAAACCATTATCTTTTTGGAAAAACGTGAAGTTTCATGGTAAAGACGTGATGGCTGAATTTGACGTTTACGCTATCCATACACCCGATCATTTTGACGATTTTTGGGCACTTCAAGAGAAAAGTCCTTCTCATCAGTGAAAATGATCTTTTTGACATCTGCAGCTGAATAACGATCATATAAATTGCGACATCTTGTTTTTCTTTTTCATTTAACATATAAGTGAGTTGTCGATATTTTGCTGTACCAACTTTTTATCTTATGCTGTTTAACTTTTGTATTTGGCGATGCTCATCAATCTACATTATAAGGTGAAATAAGTGAGTTGTCCTCCGATATTACATTTCTTGCTATGCTATCTTGTATTTGGCGATACTCACATAATATACATCCGATTAATCTAATATTTTATTAACTTATAGATAATATCCTTATCTTACTCCCTCTTAAATTTCAAATGATTTGGTTTATATCTTGCAGAGTTATAAGAGCTCAAAAAGCGGGACGTTTTTTTGGGGACACCCGATATACTCCTTTTATTTTCTTTAATAATTTCACGTGGTTGGTAACAAAGTCGAATCGGGATTCTTAAGTGATCTGATATTCCTGACGACGTAGTTTTCTTTATTTGTGTACTTTCACATCGAACTTTAGCTGCTTCATGGTTATATCGATATTAAAAATCGATGGAAATAAATGTTTTTCTAAAAGTACACAATTCAGAATGCCTTGACATTTGATCTCTTGTTTCACTCGGCTTGGGGAACTTATGAAAAACAATACGTTATCCTTTGGATATCAATACATGAAATATCACCCACTGGTCTTGAAATATATTTTACATAGCGATCTTGTAGGGAACAATTTGTCTCGAGGTTGCACGAATACAAACCGAATCTACCCAAGAAGTATACCCAATTCAATAAGGTATTGATTTACAGTTAATCTAAAGATCTTCGGAGCAGAGTCACTGGTCCAATCTAGTGCAAGTTTACATTTCACAACAGATAAAATAATATCCAAACTATCTGTTTAACAGGTTTACATCGGTGTCAGAGTAAATATTGTCTCCCTGAATATATGGTCCGTAGGACCTGGTGTCCTAGGGTGTATTGTCTTAACCGGACCATATTTGTATATTGGTATATCTGTGTGTATTGGTATACAATATAACCCCGGACTATATTTACTGACGGACTATAGATGTCTTATTATAGAGTGGTATACTTAACATCTTATTTACGAATTAAGAAACACTGCTTTCGTCCAATCATCTTTGGTAAAATGGTTAGGCTAGTTCATGAGTGTTAACTTTGGTGTGGTTCGAATCCCACTCATTCCTAATTCTTGTTAATTATTCTTTGAGCATATTCTGCATCAAATGGAACTACTTCGGTACAATACAATTCTCACTTGGCCTTTTTGTTTACTCATCGTATTTTCTGTATTTCACTCGAACCATTGAATTACTTATAGGAAAAGTAGTCCATTTTGAAAACTGTTTGGGTGTTGTATGGTGTATAAATGGGACATATTAGGATGCAATGTACCTCTTTGCTGGTTAATAAGTAAGTACAGACTCTTAGGCATTGGATAAAAGCAGAAAACTTTCATGAAAAAAATGGATTATTGAGTGGTAGATATTGATGAGATAGGGGGTGTGTTGGCTGGGCCATGCTAATTTTCCATTGAAAAATCACTACGCGTGTGAACAATCCAGCGGTTCTTTTGATTTCCGTGGGATATTTTTTTCAAGACTTTTTCTGAGGTAAGTTTAAGGATATCTCTTTATTGTCTATTAATATGAGTGAAATCGATGGGCTAGGATTTTTGTAATATTCTCTCAAACTTTGTCTATTCACCATGTTATCCTATGGCAAGAAAAGTAAGTTGTTTTCTACCTTCGACCATTCAACATCTATCTATTTTCTATAGATGTCACGCATGCCAGTTGTATCAATTGCATGGAATGCTGCTATTGCAACCAATCAAAATAGCTGCTATTTTCTACAGATGTCATGCATGTCATTTGTATTACTTTCGTGATGGACTACTTCGACCATTCAAAATAGCTGCTATTTCATATAGATGTCATGCATGTCAGTTGTATTAATTTCATCATAGACTACTTCGACCATTCAACATCTATCTATTTTATATAGATGTCATGCATGCCATTTGTATCAATTGCATGGGATGCTGCTATTGCAACCAATCAAAATAGCTGCTATTTTCTACAGATGTCATGCATGTCATTTGTATTACTTTCGTGATGGACTACTTCGACCATTCAAAATAGCTGCTATTTCATATAGATGTCATGCATGTCAGTTGTATTAATTTCATCATAGACTACTTCGACTATTCAACATCTATCTATTTTATATAGATGTCATGCATGCCATTTGTATCAATTGCATGGAATGCTGCTATTGCAACCAATCAAAGTAGCTGCTATTTTCTACAGATGTCATGCATGTCATTTGTATTACTTTCGTGATGGACTACTTCGACCATTCAAAATAGCTGCTATTTCATATAGATGTCATGCATGTCAGTTGTATTAATTTCATCATAGACTACTTCGACCATTCAACATCTATCTATTTTATATAGATGTCATGCATGCCATTTGTATCGATTGCATGGAATGCTGCTATTGCAACCAATCAAGATAGCTGCTTTTTTCTACAGGAAAGATTAAAAAATAATACAGAGGTTAAGTTGGAATATGTATCTATTAATGAAAATATTACAATGAATCGGATGATATGATTATTTTAATTAAATTAATAATATGTTATATAATGTTTATATGTACTGTACAGCTCACAAAAAGACATCTCTTTATAATCAATGCAGAATGATTGATTTTGGAAACTGAAATGAAAGAACAACTTTCTGAAAATCCTGTATGAGATTTGAAATACTCCGGTTCTTTTTTATGTATGTGTAGCTGTAGGGGCTCCCTGGTGTCCTGTAGATCGACCGATGTCCCGGCGGGTGCCTTGCGATCATCGGCAGATATCCTTGCGATATCATACAAATGTAATTAATTTGGGCGCCGTACGATGCCTGGACTAAATGCGAAATCAAGACATCGGATAAAGTCATCGGCGCCCGGTCGATTTAGAAATTGGCCGATGACTACTCATCGGCAGGCGCCCGGCGCTAATGCGACCTAGGCATAGCTAGAGTTTAAAAGAGGAGACAATAGTAAATGGTAGGGACGACTTCAATTTTGATATTATTAATTGTCCATAATTGGGTAGCAATATTCCATTGAACCCAGCATTTGGGGTCTTTTTATCCTATTTACAAAGTGAAATTAATAAGAATATTCGCATTGAAATGAATGCTGTAAACTTGATAAAAAGCGCTATAGATTATCTAGTTCTTGATTGTTTTAATATGTCGAAACACAAATTCTGCGACATTCTATTTTTGAATTGAAAATACAATTTCCTGAGGTCTGATATAAAGACTATTGATATTGAAGTTATGGTGATGCACAAGCCAAACGACCCGATTAAAGTTGCTCCTGCCGCTTCTTCTGGGATGAACTCAACCTTTTTCGCCCGAACCCATTTTTCAATATTTACACCTGAAAAGAAAGGACGGCGTTATAACTTAAATTAAAGCCATTATCTATATGCTCATTTTATCTTATTTACGGTGGTAGACAAAAATGTTAACGCAGAAATAAGTCAATGCAACACATTCATTCTCTTGGTTTTTTGTAACGATTGGAAATCAAATTAATGAGTTATCGCTCTTTTAAAACATGACATGCGACTGCAGTTTGCAATAATTGTTGAAAAGAAAACCAAGGGATATCTAGACAATACTCGAGAAAATCAACATTTTGAGTACTTATATGACAAGCTTTTACAATATCGAATCAAATGTCACTTACTAATACAATATGATCTCGATGACCAGGTTCCATTTTGCAAACAATGAACATACTCGTATATACTGTTTTCACTACGGCCGTCTATGTGATAACCATCTTTACATCGTAGTGTCGCAAAACTACTACACTTATAGACTTGAATATTTGGATCCACGGGAATTGCATTTGGATCTTCTTCAAGATTGCCGCATGAACAGCTAGGCACAGGCGTGAATTGGACACAGGTGTCGATCCCATGCCATTGGCCTCGATCGCCACAAGGTGTACACAACGCATGGTACTCCCATGCCCCGTTGCTAAGGCAACTAACATTGTGAGCTTTTAAATGAGTAATGTCTGACAGAACATATCCACTGTTACATTTATATTGCGCAAAATCATTAAACAAGGTGCCAGATATGTTAATGACTGCGTTCGAATCGATTGGTGGATCGCCACAATCGACAGGTTTACATAACGCATGGTACTCCCATGTCCCGTTGCCAAGGCAACTAACATTGTGAGCTTTTAAATGAGTAATGTCTGACAGAACATATCCACTGTTACATTTATATTGCGTAAAATCATTAAACAAGGTGCCAGATATGTTAATGGCTGCGTTCGAATCGATCGGTGGATCGCCACAATCGACAGGTTTACATAACGCATGATACTCCCATGTCCCGTTGCCAAGGCAACTAACATTTCGAATGTCCATACTGGGGTAATCTGATTGGACATACCCAATGTTACAATTATATCTCACGATGTCTTTATATAAGGTACCATTGACTACTGTCACTGCGTTAGGGTCATTAATAGGATTTCCACAGTTTTTTCGTTGACACATTGTGTGAAGACTTGTCCATTTTCCAGTGGCCTGGCATGTAATATTACCCTGTGTTTCTCCGATGGACGGCTCCATCTCATAACCAAAATCACATCCATATCGTATGGTATTTTCAAGCTTTGTTCCATTTTCATAAATGATATGTGTGTTGGAATAAACAGGAGCAATACCACAGTCAATAGCTTCACATTTAGGAGCGTAACTCCAAGATGTATTAGACAAACATTCAACTATGTAAATACTATTATTTCTTTCAAAACCATCGCGGCATACGTACTGAGCTACATCCTTGTATAATGTCCCAGAGTATGTAACGTTTGCGCCATTGTACTCCTCTGGCGCTCCACATGACTTTTTCTTGCAATGCACATGCGTGATACTCCATTGTCCACCGACTAAGCAGGTCATGTTTTCAGAATAATCTCGATTCAGCCCGCCTCCGATCGAATACCCATCGTGACACACATATGTTGCTATGGTGCTAATGTTCAATAACGTAGAGCTCACTGACAGATTCGCATGTATATCACTCGGTGGATTACTACATTGTGGATATTCACAAGGAGTATGGTCATCCCAGACATTATTCTTGCATCGTATAGTCTCGCTCGGAATGCTTGCATTGCCACCTATGAAGAACCCTGTGTCACATGTGTATGCAACACTGTAATAATAGGTTTCTACTGAGCCTAGGTCAGTTACATTAGCATTATCATCCAGAGGGCTTGGATTGTCACACGGAAAGACTAAAAAACAAGGTCGAATAATATTCACAGTGAAAGCACCATCAGCAGGGAGTTTATGTTTATAAACGAATAGCTTACTTTGTGAAAATTAACGATACAGAGCTTTAAAGTATTTTGGGGAGTTCATTTTGACCCCTTGTTTCATTTGAATGAGAGGTTTATTAAAATATTATTTTGACTTTGGAGACTCTTAACTTTGTAAAACCCGCTGAAAGAAATCAATTTCTGTCAAAGACAAGTTAGCAAATTCAATGGCTATTTGACTTCATGCAAAAGTGCTTAGAATAGTGAAAAACTACATGCTTTTGAAAGAATTTCTGGCCTGGGTTAACATGCAACATGTAAACCTATGAGGAAAACCTAGTCCTTAACCTTTTGAGCGGTATCGATTGACAAATTGTTTTGAAACGTCCTACGGTGCTGCATTTGTTGTTAGTTTTTGTAAACTTAAGATTATTTGGAAACAATGCATAGTAAGCTTATACCAACTGCCCGAGAACAGCAAACTGCAATTGGCAAGTGTTAGCAACTTGAAAAATGCAAAGAAGTAGCATTTACAAGTAGGCAATGGCCAAAGTGAAAGATGCGACTCATTTTTCGTTAAGATTTAATTTTCATGTAAGAAATAAGTGCTCCATTTGAATAGATAAATGTCTCTTCGATCCATTCCTTATTTGACTTAGTTACACTCGCGATACCATTGATGTACTTTTTGAAAATGTATAAGTATAACTGTACTCAAATCGTCTCACCTTTCTGACAGAGGACAGGTTGTTCGGTTGTACAATTATCTGTAAGCCATTCTTCTGCATCTAGTGCAAGGCAGTTAGTATCCACATCGTCTTCTCCTTCGTCCCATCTATTCCATGTGTTATTATAAGGTGTACCGTCTAACCACACGCTGTGTGCCCATGTGTTAGCATCCATCTTTTTAAGACCGATCCAAGAATCTTTTCTAAACATAATTTGAATTCACTTCAGTTAAGGCATACTTTTCTCGCACATTTATTTTCACTTTATTTGTCTAGTCATTTATTTATGTCAACAAAACAAGTTATTCTAATAGATAGAAAGTGTAATTGAAGATACATGATACATTGCATGTAGTATTAAGTTTTATTCCACAGTTAGCATGATATTCATAAGATAACATGTCGAAATAAAAACGGTATTTTTGTAATCAATGGTAAAATATGATATTTTTGACATATTTTCACTTAACCATAGTATACGGTGTTTTAGTCATGACATACGGCGCCGTATGCTAGGAATTATGGATTTTTGCTACTTCAGACTCAAAACGAGGCTAAGTGTCAACATCACCGGATCGTTTGTGCTCGCTCGTGCAGATATCACATAAAACATAACACATAAAAATCCTATCACTCATAAATCAAAGGATATCCTTTATTTGTCTTGTTGATATTAAGGCGCGGTTGATAACCATTGATACAAGAAACGATATTCCGCTGAAGCCCTTTGATAAGGTATGTATAACCACCTCTTTATCTGTCAGAACCATTTGCTAATGCATTTTGACTCAACTCTACTATGAAGGTTTTAAGCGAATTTTAATTAGAATTTTGGACTTAATTTGCGACGACCCATTCCGGAATGAAAATCTATATCACTAGCTCAATGCCACTAATTAAGAATCAAAAACCGCTACTCTTTTTTATTGATTTAACTTTATTTAACTATACAATTAGAATAAATCATTTATCATCTCAACTTGCTACGCTCGAACGAATATAAACTAGTATACAAACGTTGCAACTTGGAGCACATGTAAAAATCTCTCATCGTCTTCGAAGTCGACGGCATATTTCCACTCGACGCCTAGTTTTTCGCATGCCGTATTATCCCACTTATACTTATCCACAGTCATGGCAAATTGTGCTGGAATTATAAAGAATACAAGATATCCATTAAATACCTTTTAAAATTATCGAATTTGCATTGTTGGAAATTCCATAAGTATTCAAAGTCATTTCTGAAATATTTTTTGCTATCGAAGTCGTTTTAATCAGAGGGGTTTCTGAAGAAAAACTGGCAATGTAGGCCTATAACTTTGTTTAGCATGAAGAAACATGGGTATTGTAAGATAAAATTAGTAAACTCTATTGTCAATTTAAAACTTAACCCTAGAAGCTCTAAGGTAAAAATAGTCACACGAACACCTAAGGGGGGGGGGGGCAAAAGGGCACCCCCCCATTGTAAAATGTTTATTAGTAGAGCTAGGATGTTCAAACTTTTCCCACATATACTTCATCCAATTATCTACAATTTGGTGTAGAAACTTTAACAACTACGATGATATAAGATTGCATAATTTTATTCTTAAGACAACACATGGTATGATTAGTGTTAGCTTTTTCTGATTTTGTCTGATGATTACATCATAATAAATTAATAACAAATTAGTGAAGCAAAGATGTTCAAACTTTTCCAAAGTATAATTCATTTAATTATTTACAAGTTGGTGTAACAACTTTTACAACTTTGATGATGGAAGATTGAGTAATCTTATTCTAAAGATAACACGTATGGTAGAAATAGTGCTAGCTTTTTCCCATTTTGTCTATAGCAGCTGATGATTACATCATAATAAATTAACTACCCTATGTACAATTTAAGTGATTTTTCAGAAAACATTTGTTATATCTGCAGCTTCAGCTACTGAAAATTTGAAGACCCTAGCAGATGTCAATAAAAAGTAATGGGGAAAAAACTTAACATGAGGGTCATTTAGACCCCCACCCTTAGGGTTTCTAGGGTTAAGTTTACTCGAAAATGTATTATTTTAGTTCATTTCACCTTTTTAATGATATTGTATAAAATATTTTGCAACATGTGAAAATAATTTAAGCGAAATATTCAATGCAATGGAGAATGACCATCGCGATCATCGATGATCATCACGAGATGCGAGAGCGTCGAGAATTAATTTTTGGAACAATGCCTGTATATTTAACGTTAGTTCAGCCTTCGTAGTACGACAGCCTTTAGAATTGCCGCCAGGATAAATTGGTACGTCGGTACGTCAAAACTGCCTTGGTCACATGACCTAACACAGTCCGCGAAAAAAAAACACTTTTCAGGTTGACAATTTCGTCTTAATAAATCGTGTTTTATTGGGAAATATCACGAGCTTTGTAGTAGAAATAACAAAGAGTTGTTCTATGAGCATATAGCCCATACCAATTTTATATTATTCTGAATGTCGCTTTATTACAACGTTAACATTTTGCCAAGATGGCCAAAAGCTAATCAGTTTGAGAAATTAATCAGTCGAATTAGTATACAAGCTATAGCAAACATTCAATAGCATTTTGAGCACACTCGGTTTATGAGACCTGTAATCAGTAGATGTGCCTGACCTCCCAATAATACAACTCTTAAATGATAAATTCGGGGCGACTACCAAGGGGCTTTCTTAAAAATGCCCTTAAAATTGATACATCGATGACACCTTTTAAAATAGTCCATGGTACTTATGACATCCGTATATAAAGAATCCGTAGCACAATATAGCAAAGCAACATTTGCAGCAATATTTAATGAGATGCATATGTCTTAATGTTTTTTGAATATCATTAACTGAAAAATCTTCCGGCCTTTGGGTCGAAAAATGTCTTTCATCACAAGGGGTCAAAAAACGTTAATATTTTGATTCGATCTTTTATACATTTTATAAGACACAGACCGTTATTCTAAGCGTACGGACAAACAAATATCATAATGTAAAAAATTACTTTAATTTTACTGTTGATGTCGGTGTTTAATTAATGTAATTACATAAGTGTGCCTTCCAGATATTGTTTGTTTTTCAAATATGAGCCAAGCAAATTCAACAAAATTGTGTGGAATACTAAGGTAATTATTAGTTAATGCGAACATATAAGTTTTCTTACCATTCAAAACATTTTATTTCGAGAATTTATATTATCGCAAGGGGTCAAACAAATGTTTTATAAAACATAAGACAATAACAAATAGGATATAATTAAATGTTACAGAGGTATTGGAATGTTCATATATTCCAAGAGCATGTCAGTCATGCAATCAAACGCAAAGTACAATTCTCCCTCGGCTGGCTATCAACATTTTCTGATGGTTGTTTTTTCTTTGACCTTACTGCTGGATATCATCAAATTTTAGGGAAACAATAAAAACAAAAGAGTGGTATCGATATGGTGAACTTTTTAACACTCGTTTCCATTAAACCAGTCATCAAAACATTCTGAAAAGTTTACACATCGTCAATTTAATGGTCATCTTTTGGATGGTAACATTATAATTTGAATTATAATATATATACTTTTCTCTATATTGTTTTAGAAAACACATCAGACACTTCTTTCTGTCTTTGTATCATATGTTCGGAATGAATTGAAACATCTATCCGAACCTCATTGGAACAAAACATTTCATTCTCAAGAATTGGTAGAAAGGAACAAAAACAATTGCACTAAAAAACAAAAAAATGTTAACACAAAACAGTTATATATAATAAATAAATATATATAAATAATTTTTGCAATAAATTGTTGCCAATCAGTCAACATTACATAAAGGACCGTGTTATTTACAGAATGTTTTCAATAATTAGTTTAAGAGAAAAACATTGTTGAATTCAGTTCACCATATCGATACCTATCCTTTCTGAATGGTTCGTGAATTCCACCAAGTCTTGATGGCGACTGATCAATACCTAACTATGAAAAATAGAATTTTAGCTGTAGTCGCAATGAGTCAATGAAGAGCAACAGGCCCTCATTTATTGACAATGTTTATCGCGGAATAAAAGTCCATATCTCAAAACATACACTGTACATGTGTTGATCCATTTTGTGAAAAACTAGTTTAATCTAAGCATTAATCATTCTTATATAAAAGTGATTCCTCTGTGTCATTTATCTCATTAATAGCCGAGAAACAATACAAAACGTCGATTTACTGATTACATACTTTTTTGGTAGTGATAAGAACATAACCTAAATTTATAGCTTAGAAACCTAAATCATATATTTAGAATTATTTTATATTATTCTCTGTTGCATTGTGTACTCCTAAAGTATACGGTTATAATAAAAATTATTTGGGAACATACAAAATTTTTGTATGTAGGTATGTTAATATAAGGTCAAATATCGATGCGCTATAAAGTGCTACCACCTCCTTTATATACGTCCTACCATGTTCATACCATGGACTAAAAGTGTTCCTCCTTCGCTCCATACATTACAAAATAAAGAATAGATCTGGTCACTCATTTGCAGTATATCGAGCTGAAATTATAAATAAGTTGCTTACCCCTTTCAGAACAATTAAATCCTAGCTTAATTTCTGGGCAGGATTCGAACTCCACTCCATCAGCGGTAGTTATAATTAGGTCTTCGCATTCTGCGTTTCCACATCGGTCAAGCTCCATTGTATGCTGTTCGAAGCAAAATGCTAACAGAACACAACAGAAGACAAGAGCTTTCATTTCAGTAAAGTGTGTTTAACTTACTAGTAATATTGCCCCAATATATGTTTGTACAAATTCAAATAGCCATAATGCGTGAAACATGTGTTTTTGTTGTTCTGAACGTGCATGAACGCGAACGTCATTAAATCATCTACAACGCGCTGTTATATATTATATGAGAGCGAAAATATAATGGTAATCGTTAATTATATCACAGTATTTACTCTTTTTCGCAATGATACCTTATAAATTATAAACAACCTCGATACTTATTTATACCTTAAGAAGTAAAAAGCAATGGTTTCTGATTCTCTGATTGGTCATTGTTCACAGATTCGATTTTATAGGTACAGCATGTTTACTCGATGTGAATTACCTTCGTTGTCCTGAGATACAAGTTACACGTGACCCTGTATCATTGTTTTACGTCATCTTATATCGGTTCTCGAATGGTGGGGGAAAGGGGGTATCAGACATTGTTTCTTTTCACGTCAGATCATGGTTTTGGGATATATGGGGTTTGTTTTTCTTGACTGGTATGCACTTAGAGTTTGCTTTTTGCTAAGTTCCATTACAACTTTCGGTCCTTTCCCTTTGGCACTTGTGCTTAGATATTTATATTCAAACTGTCTTATAGCCCATAATATTTTCAGTTAATATTGAAATTACTTGAGGAATATTGCTTGATGAATATTGACGATTCAAGCAGTTGTTTAGAGTCTTTCGAACGCCCTCTTACATTAATTTGAGAGTAGTTCTATTATAATCATTTGTTATCTAAAACTATGACTCGACTGTGAGCTGTTGGAACACTGTGTTTCATCATGATGGCTATACATGGTGGTTGTTATTATTCGTTGTTTGGTGACAAACGTATTTCTGCCTATGTTACAGGAGATATTAAGTGCATATAGAATACTGATTCATTTTCGAGGTCTATTGGCCTATCCCAGCCTATATCACATTTTTGGGTGATATGTTAAGTTATTGCTGACTTAATAAACTCTAAGCTGAATCAGGTCATGGGGTCACACGACCACTTTTACGGAAGTGTTACCGTCCACAACCCCCCCCCCCCCGTCACTTGAGATCCAAGAGAGTAAGAACACGGTAGAGCATGAAGGAGACAACCGGGTGCTGTTGATACCGTTTCTCATCAAGATAAGCAAGAAAAGTTTAGATCGAAGGCTAATGTATATAAATTAATATGAACAAAACCAATCGTAAGAAGTAACTCTTTAACAGGTAAGTCCCATTGATTTCGCCTCAATTCCACTGTATTTATATATCAAATTCACTACCATTGATTACCATTGTGATAGAAATTGAATAAAGTCGTGGGAAAAAATAATACCATTTTCACTTTTTGCAGAAAAATATGTTAAAGTACTGTAATGGCAGTGAATATAAATATTAGTATCTTGTCGCTAAATAATATGTAAATAGTTTAACTTAATAGGAAGAACAACGTGTAACAATATGGTTGTTGACTTTTGATTAATAAATTAATAAATTGAGCCAAAATACACATTTATACTTGTTGTATTTTTAGAAATGATAAAATTGCACACATATCAGTTAAGAGACACGTATACAGTCAAATATCAAAGACTAATGAGTACAACTATATAAAAGTATAAGTGTAAATCAACTTATCCGTTATACTTTGTCATCAAATCACATACCGTGATAAGCTGTTTTAATGAAGATACGATTTGTTAACAACGAGGAGTGGATAAGGAATAGGTATGAAAGCCCAGGGTTAAATATACGATCAAGAAATATCAACCATAAATAGATTATATTGAAAAGGAGGTGCTTCTAGGCTAAACACTGGCTAGTTCATAAAATGCCATTATGCCCGGAGTAGGTCAAAGATCAATACGTCGTCATGGTAATTTGAACATGTTGGACTTTGCATCAATGTACTTTATTGAACTGGACCGAGAGTTTACGCTTAGTACATAATTTAGCCATGTCTACGGCATATACATGGGACAAACCCAATGGATGAAATGCCAATTCAGTAGTCGATGCAAAGACACGACACGTACTTTTCAAAAGAATGGCTATACCTAGGGCTAATATAGAAATAATATCGGTGAGATGGTGGTTTGAGGTAGACCTTTGTAAAAGGTCAATGAAGGAAAATGACCAATTTTTATAAGTCCAAGATACCTATCTCCCATCAAGTTTCCCGATAAAAGTGTCGACTGTATTATATATTAGTTATTAGCCGTACACAGGTAAGTTGATTGATAAATATATAAGCACAAATGCCAAAGGGAAGGGTGACTAAATACTTTAAAGAAACCCAACAAGAAAAGCAAACTGTAAGTGTAAATCTGTCATAAGAAAAGTAGACCCTATATATCCCAAAACCATAATCTAACGTGAAGAGAAACAATGTCTAACATCCCCCTCCCCCCTCCAATCGAGAACCAATATCACAATCCAGGACCAGAACACCAAGGGAGCTGTTGGACCTGATAGTTATATAAAAATCCATTCACACATAATGGAAATGAATTTTTTAGAATGAATGTAATCGGTCCCCGGGCTTGACACGATTTGTTTTCATATACAGTTTGAAGAGTTTAAGCAGTGACGTAGCTTGCAATCTAAGTGGATGATTGAAGTAAAAAGTATACATACATATCAAAGTAAAGGAAATCTCCCATTCTAACAATTGAAAGTAAAAGATCTATCTACCATTCACACAAAATGTAAATCACTATCTTCAACCAATAACAATCGCGTTTACCATGTCGCATATAACTTCTAATAAATATAAGGGATTATACAAATTATAGGCCTATGGTAGAACCATAAATGTTTGTGAGTACTTTGAATTTAGAAAATAAGCAATCAAATGATCAAATTAACAGTTTATGTAAAAATAAAAACATTTATATTTATCCTAACTTTTGTATATTTCAGATAGTAATGTATAATGTTCAGCAAAGCTGTGGCCTTTTTTAATTTAGGGAGTCTCAGCCATGTTAATTTTTCCGAAAATAAAATGGCAGAGAAGTATCAAAATATAAGAGGATACAGATATGATAGCTAAACTACAAAACAAACTGAAATATACAAAAGTTAGGATGAATATAAATGTTTCTATTTTTAGATAAACTGTTTCAGTTTGGTCATTTGATTGCTTATTTTTTAAATTTAAAGTACTCGAAAACATTTATGATTTTACTTTAGTGTATACGTATTGTTTCTGCGAAAGTTGCTCTTCAGAAAAATCGCATGGTGGTAATTTGTCAAGATTTCCTACAAGGTTTAGAATCAAAAATGGAATTCATATCTTGGAAACCATGAGTATATAGCTAAAAGTATTTACTAAAAAAACATTTTCATGGATATAGGGTCGATTCCTGTTTTCATATATTGAAATATTTTGAAATGTTTATTGTTATCACATATTCAACACAACAATATAAAGCAAACTATTGACAATTTTACGTCAACATTTTATGACGCTGACAACGTTGTTGCATTTTGAATACAAAAATGATCTGCTATTTTACAAGACATGGCATTCAAGACAAGGTGTAATAGGGATGTTGAAGCTATCCGGAATCTGAAAGTGAGCTTTCCAGGGAAAGTGAAAGTCAGATTTCAGGGGTCATATCATATGCTCAGTAGCATTAAAACTTTATTATAGGACTGGTATGATTGGTAAATCAATAGTTTCAAAGCTAAAAAACACAAATGTGAACTCTTAACAGTTGATTGACCAGTTTAAATAGTCTCAAAGAGATTAACTCTCCTTATAAGACCATCATACTACAATTCTGTAAACTTTATCAGATGTTGGGTGGCGAAATAGTGTACCTATAACCTTGAAAACCTTAATGTGACCAATCACATGCTCTACATAACTCCGCCAGCTTCTATTTTTTTTGTTTAGCCGCTTACATTTTAACGTAAATTTTGGGATTTTCTCCGTATTTCAGAAATGTTATATTTCCTAAGGAGTGGGTATCTACATGGATACACTTTACCCTTATAAAACAACTGGGTTGTTTGAGTTGCACATGTATAAAAGTTAGAAAGAAAATAACCTAAGGAATATTTTGTGGAATTCGTCAGAAAGTTTTAACGTGAAAATATTAATACAAAGCACAGCAAATGTTAAACACCGCTTTAGGGAATGTGTTTTATTTAATATGCTAGTATGTAGAGTATGTCCTCTGATGGGGTTTATCAACCTTTATACATAAGTCATAGTACCATGGTACCACCGTTAATTTTTGCCTAAAAATAGTAAAAAATAAAAAATATAACATATTTTGATTTATGCACTGTTTGAAGTTAAAAACATTGAAAATAAGTTGAAATTGGTGCTGTAAAGCGTCAGCATATAATCAGCTCATTATAATGTCACATAAAATTGGACTGGTACTTTAAGTTTTTTATTTACCTTTATCTCTTATGTTAGAATTTCAGTTATGAATAGGGTCGGTAAACAGTCAAGTAGCACTGCAGTAATACCAAGGACTGGAGGATAATATATGAAAATACAGTAATATATAGTTCTCAAAGTACACACAAATTCTGAAATAAAGTTTTGAAATAATTTTTTTTCTAAACCCTTATCGACCCCTGAAATCTGACTTTCACTTTTCCTGTAAATCTCATTTTCAGATTCCGAATAGCTTCCATATTCCTAATAGAATATTCACATCTTTAACCCCCTAAACTTGGTGATTTTTTCCGACCTTTTCACAATTTTCTCAATTTTTAAAATCAAAATGCATCAGTTTGCTCTCCTTATTTTCTGATTGATGCTGATAGTTAGCGTACACGCTTATAATACTTATATTATGAAATAATATTAAAATAATTACTCTATTATAACCGCATGTATTTCTTCATCAGCGGCGACCTAAACCCTTATCGACCCCTGAAATCTGACTTTCACTTTTCCTGTAAATCTCATTTTCAGATTCCGAATAGCTTCCATATTCCTAATAGAATATTCACATCTTTAACCCCCTAAACTTGGTGATTTTTTCCGACCTTTTCACAATTTTCTCAATTTTTAAAATCAAAATGCATCAGTTTGCTCTCCTTATTTTCTGATTGATGCTGATAGTTGGCGTACACGCTTATAATACTTATATTATGGAATAATATTAAAATAATTACTTCATTATAACCGCATGTATTTCTTCATCAGCGGCGACCTAAACCCTTATCGACCCCTGAAATCTGACTTTCACTTTTCCTGTAAATCTCATTTTCAGATTCCGAATAGCTTCCATATTCCTAATAGAATATTCACATCTTTAACCCCCTAAACTTGGTGATTTTTTCCGACCTTTTCACAATTTTCTCAATTTTTAAAATCAAAATGCATCAGTTTGCTCTCCTTATTTTCTGATTGATGCTGATAGTTAGCGTACACGCTTATAATACTTATATTATGGAATAATATTAAAATAATTATTTCATTATAACCGCATGTATTTCTTCATCAGCGGCGACCCGTACCCCAAAGCCAAATGTAATAATGTATTGTATTTTATTCTTGTATTAAAATAAATAAACTATGTCTACCAACGTTCGTCTTCTTTGATATAAATACTTATATTATGGAATAATTCATTATAACCGCATGTATTTTAACGATTCAATTAATCACATTACCAATCTAGAGAACAAAGTAAATAAATAATTTAGTAAACGCAGTGTTCAAACGTCTCTCTTGTTTATTAGTATTATATTATTTCTTTGAGCAGCATTCTTGTGATTTATCCCTATATGGGTGAATCTCCCGTTCTTTATTGGTTAAACACAAATTCTTAAGCATCATATTCTTAAATTGTGATTGTAGCATTTTTACATCTGATAAACAGACGAGTGTTAGCATAGTTATAGTTATGATTAACCCCACAGAACCAACTGCGACTGCTCCAACTGCCTCCTCCGGTTTGAACACGACTCTCTTAGCTCGAATCCACGTGTTACTGGACGAACCTAAAATGACAAAAATACATCAATTGTTGTCTGATGTAAAAGTATGGGTAATTTGACAAAATCTTTGCCCATTTTGTTATTTGTTATTTGTTTACTTTTCGAGAAACATTTGCATTGATATGTATAATACAACTATTCAAAATTTAATAATTATTCAGTATATACTAAGAGAGAATGGTATTTAGGATGAAGTGTATTTGTTTTTTCTTTATCATGTTAATACACGGACATAATACCAATGTAATACGTGTCATCTATTGCTATATTTGCATCCTCAACGCCTTTCAAATATATTGCTCTTTTAATAGATGGCGTTCAATATTCGCCCGACACTTATCACTACCCATTAGCTCTACCCAACATCGATAAATAGCTATCTTGCTCTTATGAGTATTAAAGATATAACTTACTAATACAATATGATCTCGATGACCAGGTTCCATTTTGTAAACATTGGACATACTCGTATATACTGTTCTCGTCATGACCGTCTATATGATAACCATTTTTACATTGTAGTATCGCAACACTCATACACGTATAGTTAAGGATATTTGGATCCACAGGTATTGCATTTGGATCATCTTCAAGAACGCCGCATGAACAGCCAGACCTAGGGGTGGATTTGACGCAAGGATCGTCTCCATACCATTGGCCTCGTTCGCCACAAGATATTGAAACATTACGACCATTGAGAAAATAACCTTGTCTGCATGAGTAGATGACGGTATCATTGTACATAAATGGCCTACCCTGAGTTACATTGTCGTAAACGGCTATTGCGTCATTGTGTAGAATGGTTACACCCTGAGTTAAATTGGCATAAGTGTCCACGGGAGGATCATTACACAAAATTATTGAACAAGGAGACATATATTCCCATGTTCCGTCAGCTTGACATGCTATAGTATCAGTTGTTGTACCATTCATCCAATAACCCTTATTGCAATGATATGTGGCTATTGTTTCAAATGTATATAGCGGATTTTTAACAGATATATTGGCATTTTGGTCGAAAGGGGGAGCCCCACATGATCGCCTCACACAAACATTATGTTCACTCCAGTCACCTTTCTCGGTGCAATATATAATCGCCTTCATTTCATTCGTTCCATTTAAAACATATCCCGAATTGCAGGAGTATAATAAGGTATCATTAAACAGATGTGAGTTATTGAAAATGACTGCATTGGCGTCAATCGGTGGGTCTCCACAATCGACAGGTTTACATAACGCATGGTACTCCCATGTCCCATTACAAAGGCAACTAACATTTTGGATATCCATATCGTGCAAATCTGACAGGATATACCCATAGTTACAATCGTATCTTACGATGTCTTTATATAGGGTACCATTGAATACTGACACTGCGTTAGGGTCAGCCTTAGGAGCCCCACATGATCGCCTCACACAAACATTATGTTCACTCCAGTCGCCTTTCTCGGTGCAATATATAATCGCCTTTATTTCATTCGTTCCATTCATAACATATCCTGAATTACAGGAGTATAATATGGTATCATTAAACAGATGTGAGTTATTTTTAGAAATGACTGCATTGGCGTCAATCGGTGGGCTTCCACAATCAACAGGTTTACATAACGCATGGTACTCCCATGTCCCATTACGAAGGCAACTAACATTTTGAATATCCATATCGGGCAAATCTGACAGGATATACCCATAATTACAAGCATATCTTACGATGTCTTCATATAGGGTACCATTGAATACTGACACTGCGTTAGGGTCATCATTAGGATTCCCACAGTTTTTCCGTTGACATATGCTGTGAAGAGTGGTCCAATTCCCAGTAGCCTGACATGTAATACTCTCCCAGGTTTCTCCAGAGGACGGTTCAAACTCATATCCAGGGTCACATGCATATCGAATGGTATTCTCGAATCTTGTTCCATTTTCATAAATAATATGTGTGTTAGAATACACAGGAGAAAGACCACAGTCGATAGGTTCACATTTGGGAGCATAACTCCAATATGTATTAGACAAACATTCAACCATGTAAGTATTATTAATTCTTTCAAAACCATTGTGGCATACGTACTGAGCTACATCCTTGTATAATGTCCCAGAGTGTGTAACGTTTGCGCCATTGTACTCCTCTGGAGCTCCACATGACTTTTTCTTGCAATGCACATGCGTACTCCATTGTCCACCGACTAAACAGGTTATATTTTCAGAAGAATCTAAATTTAGCCCGCCGCCGATCGAATATCCATCGTGACATACATATGTTGCTATGGTATCCACGTTAAATGACACAGAGCTTACTGACATATTCGCATGTATATCACTCGGCGGATTGCTACATGGTGGATATTCACAAGGAGTATGGTCATCCCAGACATTATTCTTGCATCGTATAGTCTCGCTCGGAATGCTTGCATTGCCACCTATGAAAAAACCCGTGTCACATGTGTATGCAACACTGTAATAATAGCTTTCTACTGAGCCTAGGTCAGTTACATTAGCATTATCATCCAGAGGGCTTGGGCTGTCACATGGATATACTAAAATAAGAAACAAGTTCGTATAATATGTAAAGTAATTGCTCCATCAATCAGTTAAACAGTTAAAATAATTTGGAAATGTTATGAAGATGAAGTTTTTTATTTATATTAAGCTCAAGCTTATTAACAGGAATGTTATTTATTGTATAATATTCAAGTATGCATAATGTAAACAGTGTGAGACATCAAGAAATATTTTACTATATAAGTAACATAACGACAACTACCAGAGTGCATGCAAAACAATAAATTTTCGCTAATTGAATTTTGTCTATCTATTCTTGACATTTGGCGAATATTAGAATCATATATTTTCTTGTAAAACTTTTTAAGTGGGTTCGTTTGAATACATATACTTCAGTCGATACTGTAGTGAAAATGTATTCATATTAGCTCGTAGATTGTAGTCTTACTCAATGTTATTAAAGTGTGATGTGTGAAACTTTTATTTTTACTTTTTCCGAAAAGATAAGACAATTGGTTCGAAAATAAGCGAGAAAATGAACTCATCAATGCATGTAAATGGTTCAGTGATAAATGCGTTCAAAAGTTTAGTTCTCAAAGAAGCCAATGGTACACTTATATCCAATACAATATATTTTTCTTCAACCCGGTTAGATAATCAACATTGTTTTTTTATTGAAGTTTATCATATTTAGAAAAGACTAAGATGTCAAAATCTTTTCAAAAAATGGTTGCCACTTGGATGATGTTATGATTAATTCACCAAGGTTGCAAAATATTTTATAATATGTTAAAACATTAAAGTGGCAAGTTACATTTTACTATTGAAAGATTGCTTCCTTTGTTCAATCTTCGAATTGGTGTTAATGTTTTTCATTGCACAATGGAATATTTTTTGATTAAAAAACATCAACTTTTATATAAAATGGCAGGAAAATAAAATATTTGAGAAATGAAATGCCTAAAAGTCATGACAACTATAGAATGCATGATAAAAATATTTTCAAACAATATGGGACTTTAAGAACTCGGACAATACCATTGATGCACTCCTGGATTATGTGCTATTTTGATTCCGTCCAAAATTGTCTCACCTTTCTGACAGACGACTTGATTTTCGGACATGCAACCCTTTGTGTCCCATCCGATTGTAGCTAATTCAAGACAATTAGTATCTACAGTCCCTGCTCCATCTTTCCACCTGTTCCACGTTTTATTGTAAGGTGTACCATCGACCCAAACGCTGTCTGTCCAAGTGTTGGGATTCATCTTTCTAAGGCCGATCCAAGATTGTTGACTATAATACCAAGTAATATCAAGGGAAGAATATTAATAATATTTATATGATTAAACAACGATATAGGGATGAAGAACCGCCAAGAGGAGCATTTGTCTTCCTTCTTTCAATAATATAGATTTAACCCGTTCAACTTACTATAGATGGCGAGGTTTCTTTTACTGAGTTATTTGGCATTTGCGCAGAATAATTACTGTCTCCAGATGACATAATTAACAATAAGTTTAAAGCCCTCTATCGAGTGCAACATAAGTTAAAACGAAGTCCATTTTACACTGAACGCACGTTTCTTAGCTCAACCTTAGAATTTTGATCTCGCAGTCGACTGAAGCTAAAACTGGTATTTTGACGACCCTTGAATATGGGAAGGGGTTTCTTTTTCATTTTGAACCCTCTACAGAGCACAGCTCTCCCCCAATTGAACTAGTTCAAAATCCAAGGGAAATGGATATGTTTCGACACACATACAATCGACAAGTCATTAATCAACAACATGACATCATGAGTAGTCCTCAAAGGTTTCTATTTATTTTTGAAATAACGATTTAGTACAAATAAGGTGTGAGGTTCCATATCCATCCGCCAAAAGGTATAATACAGGGTGTCCCGAAAGTATGCCCCCCCCCTAGGCAGACATATTCCAGTGTCCTCATAGTATGTGTCATATATCATTTTAAACCTTATCCAACGTTACATTGATTTGCCAAGTATCATGGTTTAACTCTCAAATGGGAAAAAGTTATAGTCATTTTAAAAGTTAGTGTTTTGTCAAAATAAAGTTCAATTTTACGCCACATTACTAGTCAATGTGCCCCCCCCCCCCTTGGCCATATTAACAGCAGCAATTATTTTCAGATATGGCCTTAAAAGCCCTTAAAATAGGGGTGTGGAATTTTATAACCCTATTAAAACCTGTTAAGGGACTTTAGAAGAGTTTCATTAGAGTTTCTACCCCTACCGTTTTCTTTTTCCAACTCAATATACATCTGACCCGAAAAGAATTCTCGAAATCGTTGTTCCCTCTTCAAAAGAGGAGACGCAAAAATCTTTCCTTATAAGGTCAAAATATTTCCCATGATGCAGTTCGCGGAGGAACAAATTTATACTTCCTTGTTTTCCCTCATAGGTTTAACATGAGGATTTTCACACCTATTTTTCAATCGATATATTCGTTCATATTCCCGTACGAGAGTACAGAAAAAATTATGAGAAACGATTGATCTCTTATTAATCTTAATATAACAGCTAATTTTTTCATTGTATTGATTCATGGCGTGGTGAAAACGATGATTGAAAAGTGAGAAAATATTCCGGGAGAGAAGGTCACGTGATCAGTTGACTAGTCGCCATATTGGAAAAAACAATTCCATTCGACGTTCAATACTTTCATGCCAATCTTACCGCACTACAAACTGCAACATCGATGCAACAACTGAATAAAAGTATTCATCTTCAAATTACATTATAGAGTTACGTTGAAAACCCACAAACAACTGAGCAGTAAACCAAAGAAGACGCGTCGCTATTATCTAGGTCAATCTGTTAAGTGGTCCGAAAGCAAATCTATAGAACTCGTTTCCGAATTTCGTTGTTCATTGTACAATTTTTTATTGATTAAACTCGGTATACTGACTATTAAAGCAATGACAAAGAAGAACACTTCCGATGGTGACATTGTTTTATTTAGCGTGCGGGTGTAAAAACAAAATTGCGTAATTAGTTTGATTTAGAACTTTCGGGTCACGCAAATAGCTACGCGAAATGCATAGTGGGAAAATATTGACCAATCAAATTTTGTCCTTTTTGAGTGCTCTTTCAGTGCATATTTGCGAACGTTCTGATTCAAAGGGCGAACCGCGAAAGGGAGAATTGCAGCTGTTAAGATGGCCCGGGAGGACACATTGACGAGTGATTTGGTGTAAAATTGAACTTAATTTTGACCATACACTAAATTTTGAAATGCCTGTAACTTTTTCCAATTTGGGAGTTAAACCATGATACTTGGCAAATCAATGTAACTTTGGATAAGCTTTAAAATGATATATGACACATACTATGAGGACACTGGAATATGTCTGCCTAGGGGGGGGCATACTTTCGGGAAACTCTGTATATAGTCTGTTTAAAGATCTGTGATTTTGTTCTAAATAACGCCATAGTTGGCTTCTGAGGAACGTAGTATGCAATTATTTGGTATCAAAATAAAGAAGATGGGTTTAACTTCCATTTAATTTACAAAAATACCGATGTTGGTCAAAATAGTTCCAACGTGAGCGTAGGCGTTTCATAATTTGTCACGAACGCCATATGTGCAAAGTAGTGTTCAGAATTTTCGGATTTCATGTTGGATTGCGGTACTCACATCATAACAGAAAATTCTCTATATTCCCATTTTGTTATGTTGGGCATGCGTATTCGATAATTTTTATCTAAATGAGCAACTTTGCGCAAATACGACATCTAGAAAATAAATCCATCATCATCTTCCGATGTGTATTGCAAGGTATTTTAATTTCAAGTTTGGTCACTATGTTTTTCTAGACATTGGCATAAGCAATTACTTAATGCTATTATTTTAACATATTATTTCGTTTAGTACTGCTTGGCTAAGCTCATATTACATCTACTTCCTCCCACAATGCATCACGCGAAAATAAAAACGGGTGACATTTTGTGACAATTTATTTTTGACATATTTCACGACCACAGCCAGACTTAGCCCGTTTTGCGGATTTTTCGTAGGACTGGAAAGAGCGGTTGTCTCATGAGAACTAGTTTGGTGTGATTAGGGCCTTAGTTGTAAAATCTGATGCCTTTGACACCTGCTCAAAAACATGTGTACTAGAAAAATACGAAAATGCTTCACTTCGGGGAGTTTACAGTCATGGTCTTAATGCTGTCCCTGAAGTGATGAAACTCCACAATCCACCATACATTGAATAAGGATAATTTGTGCAGATCTGAAGTGCGAAATCACTATAGTTAGAAAATTGTTCGGTTTTATTGCTGAGCCAGTCACCCCTGACTGCGTTTTCCGCATTTTTAACACTAATGACTTTTGAGCAGGTGTCCAAGGCATCATGTTTTACGACTGACTAACAACGGGAGCTACACATACACAATCGCTTCTTTTTTCCAGAAAATTGAACACAAAAGGATTAGTATTTTCCAAGATATTGCGTTTTCTGAACACCTCTATTTTCAGACCACGGCCAAATTTAGCCCGTTTTACGGCTTTTTGTAAGACCGAAAAGAACAATTGACAACTAATTCTATAGGGGGTAAATGTAACATGAGAGAAAAGCAAAACCCACCCACATTCATTTGGGTCAAGTATTGCCATTTTGCAGGGTAGGTTTCGAGAAGCACGAAATACGAATAACATTATTCATGATTTTGTTATAAAACAGTTATTACTTTAGATTTATCGTTTGATCTGTAAAATGATGCCCTCTGATTGCTTTGATGTCAGTTGCTTTGATGTACCATTCTGTATGCTACTGAGATTGTCCCCATTGATCATCTCCATAACAATAGTGAAAATATTGGTACGGACGGGACAATTTCAAAAGCTATACAGAGAATACAGAATATTTTCTAGGGATTATTTTCTAAGTAAAATGTATTGGCCTAAGTTCACACGATAAAGACGTAATATAATTATTTTGAAGTGCAATACAATATACTGTGCTCTCTTTATTCTGTATTGGCACTCGACATGATTTCTCGAGCACAATATGTCCTGTATTGCAAGTCAAATCATTTATTTAATTATAATCTCATTATTGGTAACATCAATGCGGTTGCCGGAAAATCTATATTGCGTGCAAAATATGAAAGAAAGATACCAACGTTGCGACTTGGACCAAATGGAAAAACCTCTCCTCATCATCAAAGTCGATGGCATATTTCCATTCGACGCCTAGTTTTCCGCATACCGTATTGGCCCACGTATACTTTTCTACAGTCACGGCGAATTGTACTGGAATAATAAATATAGTGCATACATTTGAATTACAATAAACAACTGTTTGGAATATCACATTTATATTGTTTAAAACATAACATGGATTCAAAAAGTTATAACCATCTTCTCTTGACGCAAAAATAGTAATAAAACACAAGAAAATTCAGAAATATGTTTTGTTGAAGAAAATTAAATATTTCCATTCCATGGAACCTTTAGTATTGATATTGCTCCGCTGATCTATTTTTTAATGAAACAGTTTAAAAATTAAACAATCATATCTGCAAAGGTGTTTAATAGTACACATTTCAAGTTTGTGTTTTTCTAGCTTCAGTCATAGATAATTAACACGTTTTAGCGTAAAAACCATGATGATAGGGGGCAGAGGGAAAAAGTAATGTGGAAAGTTGATGCCAATAAAAAATGAAATGCATGCGTTAATTTCATCGTTTTATACGAAGTGAAAAAAATCAACAATCTTTCCTTTCACAGTAAACAACGTTAATAACCTATAAAATAATATGTGAAAATAAAGATTTAAACAATCATTCAAGTTCCCCTTTCAACGTGTTTAATGAGCCATAATTGACCATTTCATAAAAGTTTAAGGTGAATACAGATACATGTAGTCGCCATATATTTGCAAATCACGTTCTCTTCATTTTTTTAAAACACACTAAATTAATACATAGTGATCACTAAGTTATGGGATTTTGTTTGTAATTTAATTATTTTTCAACCAAATGAAAAATGTGTGAAATGTAATAAAGAGTCGGATAAAATAATCTCATTTTCATATGATGTCACAATGAATAATTATTATCTCCAGTTTTACAGTTTGAATACGGAAAGAAATGATCTGTTAGTTATAACATCTTATTCTAAATATGGTAGAAATTAAGTAAATATAATCTGTTTTCTAATCTAGGTCTACATCTAACGGGTATAATAGGTTTCAAATAAAGATTGCATTGAGATGGTAGAATTCCACTATCATCCCAATACGCTCTACGAGCAACATTCTTTATATAAGATTTCAGCAAAATTTATTTCAATTAAAATAATAATTAAATGTATAAACCAATGCAAGGGTAACATAACAAATCTGTATAAATGTCAATTAGAATAGTATCAGTTAATGTAAAGGGTCTACAGGACAAGGTCAAACGTAAAAAAATATTTACATATATACAAGAAGATAATTTTGACATCGCATTCTTACAAGAAACGCACTGCGGAAAAGGGCAAGACAAGAACTGGAAGCAACAATGGGGAGGAGAAGCCTACTTCACAACTACAGCTACAAATTCAGTTGGAGTAGCAACATTAATAAACAAAAAATGTATTCCTAACCCTGAAATCATAAACTGTGATATCGACAAAGACGGGAGATTCATCATCATGGACTGCCTCTTAAAAGGCAAACTCATTACACTGGTAAATGTTTACGGCCACAACCATGACGACAGCAATCTATTTCAAAATATTAAAGAAAAACTAAGAGACAAAAATGAAAACTCAATCATTATTGGAGGAGATTTCAATGTCCCATTAGATATATCAAAGGACAAAGAAGGTGGAAGACAAGCTTCACATATCAAAACAAGGGCGCTTATTACAAATATGATAGAGGAACACGACCTATGCGATGTATGGCGACAAAAACATCCACATAGTAGAAAATACACTTGGAACAATCACGACAACACAATTAAATGTAGACTAGACTATTTTCTAGTAACTAGAGACATCTACCAACAAACAAAGAATACAGAGATTCTAAGTGAAACGATGGTGAAAAGGAAAATTGCTGACCATGGACCAGTAAAACTTGAACTCAAATTATTAAACCAGAGGAGGGGACCGGGCATCTGGAAACTTAACAACACATTACTCAAAGACAAAGAATATGTAGAAAGCATAAAAGTAATAATCAACAATGTAAAGCAGAACAATGAAAACCTCAACCCAAATAGTTTATGGGAATTAATCAAATTTAACATTAAAATGGAGACAAGACGCTACGCAACAGAGAAAAAGAGGAAGAAAAAACAAGAACTAGATATTAAAATTGGCCAAGTAATTATGATTGAACATCAGGAAAACAATAAATCACTCGCCGATCCAGAAAGACAGAAGTTAACAGACAGAGCTGAAAAAATAAGGAACGAAATAGACTTAATGCAAGAAGAGACGGCTAAAAGCGCTATCTTTAGAAGTAAATGTCAATGGGTAGATGAAGGAGAAAAGCCAACAAGATACCTCCTAAATCTTGAAAAACACAATTACATAAACAAAACCATGACAGCCATTGAAGATGAAGAAGGCGTCCTAATAACAGACCAAAAACAAATAAGTGAAGAACAAGCAAAGTTTTACAGTGAATTATATAAAACAAGAATTGTAGAAACAACTAAATTTGATAAAGACTTTTTCCCAAAAGGAGAAAACCTGGAACTAAACAAAGATGAAAAACAAAATTGTGAGGGGCATATAACAGCAGATGAATGCAGAAAACAAATTTCAAACCTCAAGAACAACAAAACCCCAGGAAGCGATGGACTCTCCAGTGAATTTTATAAAACATTTGTAGATGACATCATAGACCCAATGTGTGCAAGCTTCAACTACTCAAAAAATAACAAAGACATGACGATAGAACAAAAAAGAGGAATAATAACTCTAATACCCAAAAAAGGTAAAGATCCAAACAAAATAAAGAACTGGAGACCCATAACCCTACTTAACAACGACTACAAAATAATGACAAAGGCCATAGCAGAACGCATTAAAAAAGTTCTTTACAAACTTATCAACGTAGACCAGACAGGATTTATATCAAACAGATACATAGGTGAGAACATAAGACTATCACTAGATGTAATGGAACACTTGACTCAACAAGGAAAGAATGGCATTATGGCAACTATCGACTTCCAAAAGGCATTCGACTCATTGGAGTGGAAATTCATCTATAAAACCTTGAAGTATTTTAATTTTGGCACAGACTTAATAGCCTGGGTTGAAACTTTCTACAATGGAATAAACAGCACTATAATAAACAATGGCTTCACATCCAGGTACTTCAACCTTGAAAGAGGTGTACGACAAGGCTGCCCATTGAGTCCTTACATATTCATCCTATGTGCAGAAGTTCTTAGCAATGCTACACGGAAGACAGACAAAATAAAAGGTATCAATCTAACAGAAAACGAAGAACTCAGAATCTCGCAATATGCAGATGATACCTGCTTGTTCCTTAAAGACGCCTCATATTTAGAAAATGCACTAGATCTTTTTAATAAATTTGAGATGATATCAGGACTTAAAATCAATAAAGAAAAGACAACAGTAGTAACCATTGGAAAAGACAACCAGATAAACAAACAAAAGACACAGAGAATATGCACAAATATTGGAGTGAATCTAGAAGAAAAGGAGATTAACCTCCTAGGCTTAACAATACCGATAGATGGAAGAAACATAGAAGAAATCAACTATAGCAAACCAATCAGGACTATACTAAGATTAGCACAAATATGGAAGCAAAGAAACCTATCCCTGATGGGTAAAATCGTGGTTATAAAGTCACTACTTTTATCTCAGTTAACATATCCAATGTCAGTGTTAAAAGCACCAACAGCTGAAATGACCAAAGAACTAGAAAGAATACTATTTGATTTTATATGGGACGGAAAACCGGACAAAATAGCAAGAAAAACATTAAGAGGGGGAATACCTTATGGAGGTCTTGAAATGACGCATATTCCATCACTAGCTAATAAATTAAAACTCAAATGGATTAAAAAATTAACGGACGACAACATAAAAAGTAAGTGGAAAATACTCTGGCAACAGCAGTTTGAAGATATCAGAGAACATGCATGGGAATACAACCTCAGAGAAATCAATCCGATGATTGCCAGCAACATCAAACTTACAGCAGCAAGGGACGTATACAATGCATGGTGTGCAATACATTATAAGGAGTACAAGGACATCCATACACCCGAAAACCAGATAATTTGGAACAATAGACATGTACAAAATAGAAGAGAGACCTTATATATAGAGGGGTGGAAATCCAAAGGGATAATATATATCAAACAGTTGTATGAGGACAATCAATTAATCCCGTACCAAGCACTGAAAAGGAAATTTGATTTAATAAACACAACATTCATTCAATGGTACCACATCATACACAGCATACCAGCTGAATGGAGAAACCAAATAAAAACACCGAGAAGGACCGAGACAGAAACTGATGTGAAAGAAAAATCCATTTCTATAAAGGAACTACAAACAATGACGAATAAGGATACATATAACATACTAATAAAAAGCCACACTGAAGAACCAATAAAACAACAACAACTATGGGAAAAGGCGATAGACAACACAAATATAAACTGGAAAAGCAACTACTGTAGAATATACATAACAACAAAGGAAACAAAACTGAGATATTTCCAATATAGAATATTACTTCGGACAATATTTTTCAACAAAATGCTACACAATATGAAAATCAAAACAAGCCCACAATGTGAATTGTGTAAAGAAGACAAACAGGATACCATCGAACATGGACTATACGAATGTATAGCTGTCAAACCATTCATAGAGATGGTCACCCAACTGTGTCAAATACAAAACCTGACAAGAGCAAAATACTTCCTAGGAGAGAACACCAGTTTGGGAGAAAACCTGACGCTACTCCTGGTTAAACACTACATATATCTCAACAAATTAGACAATAAACCACCAAATATGACAGGCCTCGAGAAATATGTTGAAGCCCAGGAAATCATAAGCAGAAGCAATGCAGAGAAGAATAACAAGTTAGAAGCCTATGACAAAGCATGGAAAACTGCTCAAAAGATATTCAAGCAGTAAATAAAAACATTGTAGATCCCTTTACAACATATAGTAAACAGCATCAAAATAGGATAGGAAAGCACACCCCTTGCATTGGTTTTACATACACTTTATTCTTACTCATTCTTTTATCAATCAACAATCAACAACAATTGCAATTTTATTCAACATTCATTTAGTCAACATACATTTACAACATAACTATAAGTGTATTTTTTGTCTACGTAAATTTTATTTATATTATCAATTGCATTACATTTACATGTACATATTTATATTTACATTTACATGTACATAAATAAGAATGAAGGAATAATAAAAAAAAAAAAAAAAAAAAAAGATTGCATTGTATTGTTTTCTACAAAAAATCAATCACCGTTAGTTCGTGGTTATAGTGATCTTCTGGTTGTTGCCTATGGTGTGGATCGAATCCCACTCTATCCTGTTTTTTTCTTTAGCATATTATGCATAACATGGAACTAAGATACATTGGCATATCCTGTCCTCGTTTTCATGAGATATTTTTACGTACTTTTTAATATTAATGCACGTACACGAGACTATATTTTCCTAGTTAATTTTGTCCCTGAGACAACTTAATCTCAATTCTCTACACATGTCTAAGTGGACTTCGTTTTCTGGTTGCCTCTGTCCCCGAGGCAATTTCAATGAATTTGAATCATTACTAGTGATATAGCACCAAGGGAATCATCATCCGTTTGTTCTTTTTGGTTGTGAAAGAATTAATTCCCTTGCAGTATTAATGAACGATTTTGTATGTAAATGAACTAATTATACAGAGACTTCATTCATATACATGTCCATGGACAGTTATAACCAGAAATCATGGTCCGGTGTAACTAGTTGGACATTTATAACCAGAAAATATGGTCCGATGTGACTAGTTAGAGACCATAATTTGGTGTTTAAAAACCCATTTCTAGCAAACGGTCTAAAATATCCGAGGAAACAAGTTCATCGGCCTTTATAGTTATTCTAAATAATGTAGTCTAAGAGACCATATTGAGTACGGTTTATATAAACGTTGACAACGGTTTTTGAGATTTGTTTATTTAGCGCAGTCTCAAAGTATCTTGAATACTGGATGAGCGTGGTGTAAAAGTGGTTTTGAAAAATGGCAAATTTATCTTAATGACATGTTATTTGTGGTTTATTATTCTACATTGATTCTTAAAATATTGGTGTCTAGTTTTTCAGCGTTTTTGAAATATGCAGATTTATACCCCCCTGTTGTGATTTTAAGGGGGTACTTGGAAAGCCATGTATTAAGTTAATCATCAACTTATCATGTTCTACCATTATGACAAGTTTAATCAAAGTTGGTCTACTGGTAGCTATGGTAACGGAGATCATGTGTTAAAAAAGTACAAATTTTCGTAAAAATCTAAGACATAACAGTGTTGATTTCTCCCAATTTCATGAAAATAATATGTGACTTATCTCAGGGGGTACACCGGTGTCTTAAATTTTTACGAAAATGTGAACTTCAATATTCACTATTTAAACAGCGTTCGATTGATGTCAATGGGTATTCGCTATACCAGTTATCTTTGAACGTGTATAACTGTTCTACAAAATGTATTACCTAATTGAATTCTATCTTATTTTAAAATATATTTTATTTAGGTATATAGCATATATGCCCTAAAATATTTCATGAAGAAAGAATTCGAAAAATAACAATTTATCACAATATATCATAAATTTACATCGCCCAGGTCGATGTGACCTTTGTTGAACTACTGTTTAAAAAATATATACTTCTCTGAAAAGCTATTTGAATAAAGGTTACTGCAATACCAGCATTCCTGAAATCAGACAAATTATAAAATGTCGCCGAGTGGAGGGGGGGGGGTCCAAAAGTCCGGATTTTAACGGTCATTTGTAAAATCACAATACATCAAACATTTACATCGTCTGTGTCACGTTAACCTCGATGTGACTTTGTTGACCTACTTTAAAAAAACTATCTGAAGAGATAATTGGTAAAGTTTACAACAAAACCAGCATTATATTGAAGTCAGACAAATTATAAAATGCCGTCGAGTGGATGGGGGGGGGGGGTCCAAAAGAACGGATTTAAACTGTCATTTGTAAAATTGAATTCGCGATATTTCACAAACTAAGGCATGTCGGCTACTCAGGTGGCTGTTCTCAAATTTGCAGTATCTAAATTGCAATACGCAGTATTATCGTCCGTAAAATGAAGCCCACTGATTGGCCAGTTCTTGTGCTGTACCAATCCGTATTGCTACTGGGATTGCCCATTGTTCATCTACGTAGCAATACAGAAAATATTGGTACGGAAGGGACAATTTCAGAAGCAATACAGGGAATACAGAATATTACTTGGGAATTATCTCCGAAGTGAAATGTATTGGCGTAAGATCATACGATAACGTTAAACATCATACGAAAGATCATACGATAAACGTTATTGAATGATTTGAAGTGCAATATTCGATATATTCTCGACTTCGTCTCGTTCCAATACAGAATTTCTCGAACAGAATATCTCCTGTATTGCACTTGAAATCCTTCAATAACTCATATTATCGTATGATCTGTAAAATGAAGCCCTCTGATTGGTCAGTTCTTGTGCTGTACCAACCTGTATTGCTACTGAGATTGTCCCCGTTGATCATCTCCGTCGCAATACAGAAAATATTGGTATGGAGGGGACAATCTCAGTAGCAATACAGAGGATCACACGATAAAAACGTTATTGAATGATTTAAAGTGCAAAACAGGAAAAATTCTGTCTCGATATTCTGTATTTGCACTCGACTTCGTCTCGTTCCAATATAGAATTTCTCTAGCATAACTTATAGTGCTAGACTGTTTGAAAAAGCAGATTATACACTATTCATTTCGACCTTTCCCCAAAATATTGCATTTCCTTTTAAACTCGAATGCATTCAATGAGTTATATTGACTTTAAGTTATTCATAAAACTCAATAATACTTACTCTTTTCAGAACAGTTTAATCCTAAGTTAATTTCTGGGCAGTATTCAAACTCCACCCCGCCAACAGTCATTGTAGATTGGACGTCACAATTTGCGTTTCCACATCGATCACTGTCCACTGTATGCTTTCCGATGCACAATGCCCACAGAACATAAAAGCACACACGCGCAATCATTTTGGTAAAGTGTGCATACGTTTATACAGTTCTAACAGTAATTTAGTTTTCCCTAAATCAAATAGCCATAATGCGTACAGCAATGTATTTTGTTGTTCCGATCCTGCACGATAGTAGTGTAGTTTATGCATCAACAAGGTGTAGTTGAAACGTATTTGAGAGTGACAATGTTTTATAAATTGGGAATAAGATAACTGTAATTAGTAATTCCGAGTTGCACAATACTGTGCTTAAATATAAACAACTAATTCATCCCTCTGAGAAAAAAATCAATAATTTCTTCTGCTCTGATTCGTCATTGTAGATTACGAAAAAAAAGCTATAATACATTACGTCAGATCAAGTTTTTTCTAATTCCCACGGCTTACATGTGGCATGTGTGCCAAACGAAACAACACTACATCTGGGGATTTGCATGGTCCTCAGTATACACAGTGTAGAGCTACGAGTGGCTAAATCGGGGTAACTCCATTATTTAATGGCTCAATACAGATTAATTGTACAATAAGTTGCAAAGTTAGTTGTTTGCGAATCACCCCTTTCACTGATTATGGGGAGTACTCCATATAATATACTCAGTACTCCAGTTTGGCACCAAGAATCAGAAAGAAACTGGTTACGCCCAAAGATGTACAATACATTACAGTCAAGTCGAGAAACTAAGTCAACATTCGAAAATAAAGATCTGAAAAATCGTACATCTTTGATTTCCAAAATAATTTGTGAGGTGGTTATAAAGATGGTAATACACATTTCAACGAAATAATTCTGAATACATCTCGAATCCAATCTCAACAAGGCGTTCACGAAATAAGTATTCAAAATGTTTGAGTTTGGGGTGATAAAAGTACGTTAAGATATACCGCTCCTTGTTAACAAATTCCTTTGGAAACAAGATATTGAATCAAAAGCATATTCTTCTTATTTACTCCCTGACACATGCCACCGAATGTAAAATAAGTAAAAATCTCCGTTTTAAATAATTTTCAAAAGGTTTCATGCAATTTCACTCCTTTGTTTAAGCCTCAACTAAAATCATACTCAAATAAGATACCATAATTATAAATCAAAGTGAAACATCAAACTCACCAGGCTATATGATGAACCGTTTCGAGCATTGATTGTTTGAGTTTAACTGTAGATATTCATATAAATGTAAGTCGGCATGTATTCGACAGTTAATGTACACATATTTATGCATCAACGTGTGACTTTTATCAATTCATGACTATCGTGTTTGGCTTTCAAAAATTAAGTTGAAAGTTACAGTGGTGGGAGATTACAGAAAATGTCAATTACATCCAAATATCCGAACGACGTCAAGTATTAACAATACACTTTTCGTGCATCTCGAACAAGGCAAGGTTCTGTGATCCAGCAATGTGTATTCTGTAAGAAAAAATTCACAACATCAACAATTTTCATTGAGCAGGAGGTTACATTTAAAATCACAACTTTAAAAATATTTGTTTTAACCAAGAATTATAAGAACTTGAAAAATGTTGTTAGTTTTTCAAACCGCATATCCTCAATTAATTACGTTCTTTGACAAGGATGGATCCATTTGAAAACATGGAATTTCTTTGTTATTCTTCAAAACTACCCTTGAAATATAAGTATGTAGGATATTACCGTGTAAATTGACACGCATTTGTTTGCTCCATGTCATGAAAAATAAATGCAGTACCATCTGTCAATATTCGAAAACAGAAAGTTCAATCTGTATGTTAACAAGAAAAAATACATTTATGGTTGTTTCATAATGACAAATAACATACATCTTTTGAAGTAGGGGTATATAGGGACATGGTGGAAATTCAGAAATTTAGGCAATATCCCCAACATTGCTTCACCAATATGTAACTTAACATCAAACTTATCATTTACACGTTTGCTGATAGGTTTATTGAAATAATTAATCAGAGGTTTACTTCAATTGTTGCACCATTCTTAGTAAATATTGATGAACAAACGAGTATAGAATGTTGACTAAGTTACTTGACTTGACCGTACAACGGGCAATGAATTCGATCCGTACTGTCGAAAGCTTTATACTTACATCCCTATATATAACATGGGGTTGGCTTCTGTTCACTTTGCATCCTCTTCATAAAATTGAGAGAAATGTTTTCAGAAACTATTTGAAATATTTGTGCATGTTCCTAAGTATGTGTGCAAATATTCGTTAAAAATGATGATGATAACCTTAATTATAATTTGATTTATGAGCCGTTAATAGCTGGTTGTTAGGCGAAATCATGAAACGAAATTACATTGGAATAATATTAAGTCAAAATATTTATTAATTGAGAGTTTAAGCAATGCACATCAAATCGCCCTATACAAATGCATATAGATTTCTCACATAAAACAATCGTTCGGTCACAGTGTTCACTTAGTCCGTTACTTAGACTGCACATTATCGTGTACTATCCCATTGATAGTTGTACAACTGATTTTCTATGATACACATTTTAAACATGCTCGTTTCGTAAGAAAAATTGGAAAAACAAGAATGGAAAATCGATATATCTTAGAAAATACTAATTCGATTATGTATAACGTTTAATGCGATGCATTTAAGAACTCATCACGAAACATATTTCCATAGGGAACTATAATGATACGAACCACAACGATTGAAACAATAGACACCAAAGAATTGGGAGATGTTTTGACGTAACATCATTGTTAGAAAAACAAGCTTAGTGGCATTGATTCCGCTTCAGGGCCACCAGTTTTAAAACAAGTTATGCCTTAGAAATGACTTGTCGAAATATGTAAGCATTCTCTAAAAAAATTGTTCCCCGTAGGAAAGGGAAGTGCCATTGGTATGAGCATTCCTACCTTTATCTCTTTATCGAATATTTTGATCCCTTAACCTCTCTGTCTTATTAAAGGGGGATGGGAATGGGGCCCGCCCCTTGGATGGGTCCAGAAAAATATTGGGCCAAAGCAATATTTAGGGGCCCAATAAATGGGCCTTTTGGGCATTACTGGGCCTCCTAAAGCATATTTTTCAATTTTGGCAAAATAAGTCAGAAAATGGGCCTAACATTTCCGAAAGCTACATGTGTAGTATGGCAAGTGATTTTAGGTGGTCATTTTTTTCCCTGAGTACTTTCTGGGCATAAATACAGTGGTTTTTGTTAAAACAATATGTTTTCTTTCAAGTGAAGTTACCATGATGATAAAAATATCACTCAAACAATTTCGAAAAATTATAGATAAGGGCCCCGCGTAAAAAATGTTTTCAAATGTTGAACTTTTTTGCTCAAAAGAGGATCTTCTTTTTCTGATTTTTATTGCATGAAAAAATTTCAACAATGGGTCTAAAACATATTCAAAAGTAGAAAGGTATTGAAAGTATAGTTTTGAAGATGTCATCTTTCGATGACCAAATTCATGCTGAAAACAATGGATAGCTTGAGTTTTCCCTATGGGAAAATAACATGGGAAATGTGTTTTTTAACTGTATCGCGTTTTAATACCCATCCACTTTTCAGAAGTTATTAATATAGTGTAGAAGAAACCTTTGAGACATTTAAATCGAGAAAAACAAGATTTTCTTTTTAGAAAATAAGCCTTTCATTTTTAAAAAAGTGACAAGGTGGGGTCTTAATCCATAATTTTTCAGAAAGTGGGATTGATATTTTTATTATATTATCATGGGGACTCTACTTGAAAGGAAACATTTTGTTTTAATATAAAGCACTGTTTATACCCATAAAATACTCATGGTGAAAGATATGACTGTCTAAAATCACTTGCCATAGTGCACATGGACCTTTGGATAGAAAGCTTCTACAGGCACCAAAATCAAAAATTGCCAACTGCTAGACATGAAAAAGGATCCCAAGCCAAAGAATGCTTGGTCATCAAATTTCAAAATTATCGCATATTTCTTAGCTCAGTATTATGTTGAGGACAAACCAATTTTTAATGTGTGACACTAATATTGACTCGCTATTAAAGTTAAACACGATACTCCTTCTAATGATTTTATTGACGTTTAATTATCTTATAGCTTATAGTCTGGATGTAGAGCCAATAGAGGTGGAAATGCTTATTATATAAACTTTTTTTGCATTTTCTATCTAAACATGATATCCATATTCAGAAACTGTCGGATGCCCAATAAGCATCCTTGAGGAATTTTTTGGCGGCCATTTTGAATTTTCACACGTTTTATGTATTTTAGCCAGCATATTAGAACAGAAAACTAGCATACACATAAACATATATTGCTGTTTTTTCTAATATAGAGTTTTAATATGATGTATACCAATATGTTAGGTTCCAGAAATGTTTCTTGACAAAAATAAAAAAAATTCAAGATGGCCGCCAACCTTACAATTTATGAAATGTCTCATTCTGTGATAATATCAAATTGATATTAGTGTTTCCTACAAAATTATCAATAAATAATACTAAATACATCTGATTTTGATCTCTTTCTCACATATAAAATATCTGAAATGAGTAAAAAGTAACCTACATAATAATAATGATGTTCCACAAGGGTCATTTCTTGGTGCTATATATATCTTGAATTTATGAATTATCTTCTTTTACTAATGTTTCATCAAGGATTTCCCTCAATAAATCCTCATCAGTTTCTTCCAATTCCCCATCGCCCAGTTCCACATACATTGCCCTCTGATGCACATGTGCACTTAATGAGCTGGAGAATTCCTTCAGCATGTTCAGGGGTACAGGGTGTATCCTTGGGCATTGTTGTTGGGACAAGTGAGCCCGTGCTGTTAATTTCCCAACCAAAATCTGTTGGATGGATAAGTGGGGGGTCAGGCATATCAGCATTTTTCCATATAGCTACTTGGAAATGAGCTCACCTCACATTGCTCGGAAAATGCTTCTGTTGTTGGTAGGAGGGATTTTAGCTTTGGTGCATTTGTAATGTGTTTTGCAGCATTTTCTTTGCCCATACAGCATATCTCACCTCAGACATTTTGTCTGTGACTTTAGGTGTAATTCCATAACATCTAGAAACAAATTCTGTTGAAGTTTTCTCAACTTCAGTCATGTCTGCAGTGACATCTCCCAAGTTAGCGAGTGAGTATCTATTTTACACCTTCAGGACTGTAAGCTTGCCAATTCCATGCATGCAAGATGTCATATCACTGCTAGAGAGACCATGCACAGGTAACAAGTTTGGGATTTTTAATTTGTGTTCATTTACGGTTGCATTAATGTTAATGTTTGCTCGGCCAGATGATGTTCCCTCCATTATGATGTTATTTTCCATTAACTTGTGCTTGAGACAGTGATGAAGAAGTAGAAGGAAATCATCGGTATCATCACTGAGTACACTGATATTCTGTTGGCCTTTACTGGCAGCATGCAGAACCTGGTGTACGATAACAACATCTGCTTCTTCTTGAGTGTTCCTTAAGTCATCACGCTGGTCAATATTGCCTTTGTGAATTTGTACAGGTGTTGGATCAGGACCTGTGATAACAAGGATGTTGGAGAATGATTCTTCACTAGCTTTTTGAGTGAGATGGTCGATGACACACTTTATCAACTGGACCTTGTTCTCAGTCACATTCAGAACAACATTCTGTGCAGGGAGAGGTGTGTCAGAGCTGAACTTATACACTCTACTGGCTGATTGAGCTCGAGATGACCTGGTGCTGTTCTTTATGCTATTGTATTTATATCTGTCAAAGATAAGGTATACATCTGATTCGGTTAGGAGTCTCAGGATGTACTAAGTGAAAGCAATACAGAAGATTTCAATTTTGCCAGCCATCAGCCATGTTATGGTCCAAAGGAAGGCACACCCATCAACGACACATACATTCTAGATGTTATGAAATTACACCTAAAGTCACAGACAAAATGTTTGATGTGAGATATGCTGTATGGGCAAAGAAAATGCTGCAAAACACATTACAAATGCACCAAAGCTAAAATCCCTCCCACCAACAACAGATGCATTTTCCCAGCATGTGAAGCGAGCTCATTGCCAAGTAGCTATATCAAAAAATGCTGATATGCCTGACCCCCCCCCCCCCACTTATCCTTCCAACAGATTATGGTTGGGAAATTAACAGCACAGGCTCACTTGTCCCAACAACAAAGCCCAAGGATACACCCTGTACCCCTGAAGGAATTCTCCAGCTCATTAAGTACACATGTGCATCAGAGGGCAATGTATGTGGAACTGGGCGATGTTCATGCTCCAAGGCATCTTTATCATGTACATTGTTCTGTGTTTGCAAGGGGAATGAATGCAATAACAAACCTACAAAGACAGTAACTGAACAGGAATTGGAAGAAACTGATGAGGATTTATTGAGGGAAATCCTTGATGAAACATTATCAAGATATAAGTAGCACCAAGAAATGACCCTTGTGGAACATCATTATTATTATGTAGGTTACTTTTTACTCATTTCAGATATTTTATATGTGAGAAAGAGATCATAATCAGATGTATTTAGTATTATTTATTGATAATTTTGTAGGAAACACTTATATCAATTTGATATTATCACAGAATGAGACATTTCAAAAATTGTAAGTTTGGCGGCCATCTTGAATTGTTTTTTATTTTTGTCAAGAAACATTTCTGGAACCTAACATATTGGTATACATCATATTAAAACTCTATTATAGAAAAAACAGCAATATATGTTTATGTGTATGCTAGTTTTCTGTTTTAATATGCTGGCTAAAATACATAAAACGTGTGAAAATTCAAAATGGCCGCCAAAAAAATTCCTCAAGGATGCTCGTTGGGCATCCGACAGTTTCTAAATATGGATATCATGTTTAAACAGAAAATGCAAAAAAGTTCATATAATAAGCATTTCCACCTTTACTTAAAATATGGCACTTCACATCCGGACTATTATTTCAGCTGAGTTTTAACTCTACTAGAGTGACATCTCATTCAGTAACCTTCAGAACTGATGTATTTCTGATCTTTTTCTTGTTAGTATTTTCAAAAATGTGAGAAATGTATGTTTATACGACCTTTTGCTTTGAATGAAAAACAAAATTTTGGGCACACCGATATGGATTCAAGAACAATAGCTCAGTTATGGCACGTTTTGTTTGTTGAAAAAGTGCAACTTGCTATCAAAAAAGAACTATGTTCTTGGATTATGTGTGACTATTTCAAAGGCGTTAGAGACTTAAAGCAAAATCTTATTTGAAAAAGATAAGATGTGTTTTAAAAACAGTAGATCAATGCTGATAATGTTCAACACAGAACATCAAAGTATTTTATTGTCAACAATTTGAAATCGATTAACATTGCCGATGGATATTTGGGAATAAGTGAATAACGATTTTCCCCTAAGACGTTTACATCAGTACACAGTATACAGGGTGTCAAATAAGTCCAGTCCACCCTCATAGCCAAACTCTTAATATATGGGCCAATTGACGGTAATTGATATTTTAAAAATCTGTTGTTGTACTAGAGTCTGGGATAGGAAAACCGGTCTTATCACAAAAATTAGAATTGTGCTACAGAGCCAAAAATGTGCCCAAGATTAAGAGGAAAATGTGCTAAATTCAAATCCGACTTTTTGGTCTATTATATATGCAACGAAAAATTGTTAAGACATAAGCCATGGGTCATTTGAAAGGTCTCTTTGTGCTTTATTAAATAAACCAAAAATCAGAATATTGAAAAAATCTGTGATAAGACCCCCTTTCCTGTGGCCTGGCTCATATGTTGATTTCATTGACATGCAATTTGTATCTTTTGTTAACCAGACTTTAAGCAATCATTACCACAAAATACCTGTTTGGAATATCGCTTGTCTTTTTTTAAGTAGATCACTTCAATGATGGATTTAAGACAATTAAGAAAACAATTAAAAAAAAAATTCGGCAAATATGAACTCGGATTTCTTAACCTAAAATGAATTGATTGCGTTGATATTTTTGAGCACGTAAATAAAATGTATGTGTCACAAACTCTATATTATTATAGTCTATATATTATTTCAAAGAGCAGCATTCCCGTGATCCATCCCTATATGGGTGAATCTCCCGTTCTTTATTGGTTAAACACAAATTCTTAAGCATCATGTTTTTAAATTGTGATTGTAGCATTTTTACATCTGATAAACAAATGAGTGTTAGCATAGTTATAGTTGTGATTAACCCCACAGAACCAATTGCAACTGCTCCTACTGCCTCTTCCGGTTCGAACACGACTCGTTTAGCTCGAATCCACGTGTTACTGGACGAACCTGAAATGACAAAAGTACAGCAATTGTTGTCTGATGTAAATGTATGATCATTTGACAAAATGGGCCTATTTATGAGTTGTCTGGTTTACTTTTCGAGTAACATTCGTATTGATATGTACCGTGTATGATACAACTATTCAAAATAAAATATATATGTAATATATACTGAGAGAGAGAGTGGTATTTAGGATGAAATCACACCGGAATAGCCTGCCTGACTCTGGTAAAGTCAGATACCGTTGTCACAAATGGCGGACATAACCGTCGCTTCAACTGTTTAATCACTTGATCCTCATTTCATGGGATTTTATCGTCGCTAATTTTGTGCATGCATTAAGCTCTTGTGATAATGTATCATATGAAATCCCATTTCGATCAAATCGGGTCGTGAATCGCCACAATATGACGTCTTCGATATCGTCAATGACAACGGAATCTGAATTTGAGTAATTTAGAAAGACAATGGTATATGGTAATTACAGTATCCGTTGTCCCGTATCTCATTTTTATGGGATAAATTAAAGACTTTAAAGACGATGGTAGAACATTATTAACTATACAATGAGTATAGAGACATTTTGATTGATTGTTTTCCAGAGGAATTTAGCCTAGGTGCTCTATTAAACATACAATTCATGAAAATCTGATTGACGGTAAAGGTTACCGTTGTCAGGCTATTCCGGGATGGAAATGTAATTGTTTTTTCTTCATGATGTTAATACACGGACTTAGTACCAAAGTCAAATATTGCTTTACTTGCATATTAAACGCCTTTAAAATATATTGGTCTTTCAATAGATGGCGTTCAATATTGGCCCGACAATTATCTCTACCCATTAGCTCTACCCAACATCGATAAATAGATATCTTGCTTGCAATGTTTATATCATCTATTGTACTTCCAAGATAGGCTCTTATGATTATTTAAGATAAAACTTACTAATACAATATGATCTCGATGACCAGGTTCCATTTTGTAAACATTGGACATACTCGTATATACTGCCCTCATTACGACCGTCTATGTGATAACCATCTTTACATCGTAGTATCGCAACACTACCACACGTATAGTTTTGAAGATTTGGATCCATGGGAGTTGCATTTGGATCTTCTTCAAGATTACCGCATGAACAGCTGGACATAGGCGTGGATATGACGCAAGGATTGTTTACAAACCATTGACCTCGTTCGCCACAAGATATTGAAACATTACGACCATTGAGAAAATATCCTTGTCTGCATGAGTAAATGACGGTATCATTGTACATAAATGGCCTACCCTGAGTTACATTGTCATAAACGGCCATTGCGTCCTTGTGTAGAATGGTTACACCCTGAGTTAAATTGGCATAAGTGTCCACGGGTGGATCGTTACACAAAATTATCGAGCAAGAAGACATATATTCCCACGTTCCGTCAGCTTGACATGTGATAGTTCCAGTAATCGTACCATTTATCGAATAGCCTGCGATGCATTGATATGAAGCCATAGTTTCATATCTATAGGATGAATTTGTTAAAGATATTATTGCATTTGGATAAATTGGTGGAGGGCCACACGAGCGCCTGACACAGGCATTATATTCACTCCAGCCACCTGTCTCGGTGCAACGTAAAAAGCCATTTGTTTCGTTTGTTCCATTTATCACATATCCTACATTGCAAGAATATGATATGGTCTCATTAAACAGATTCAGTGTACTCTCATTGGCCCCTCCGTCATTTATTGTCACGTTGATGTTAGCATCATCGTAACCAACTTGATGTGGGCCACACGATACTCTAAAACAAGCAATATGCCAACTCCAGGAGCCATTGGATAAACATTGTGAAATACTGACAGTTGTTGCCTCAGTATCTGATGATCCAAGTCTATAGCCAGGGCTACAATTATATTGCACCATGTCCCCATACGATGTGCCAGTTATGGTAACTATGGCATTGTCGTCGACTTGTGGGCTCCCACAATCAACAGGCGTGCATAACGAATGACTCTCCCAACTTCCGTTGCCGAGGCAACTAACAATTCGACTGTCTATATTGGCATTGTCTGATAACACATATCCAATATCACAATCATATAATAAAGTGTCATTATAAAGAGTACCATTGACTTTTTCTTCAGCATTAGGATCATCAAAAGGGTTACCACAATCCTTGGGCTGGCAGGTGTTTGAAAGATTAGTCCAAATACCAGAAGCCTGACATGTTATGTTGTCCAGAGTTTCACCTGCTGGTTCACTCAGCTCATATCCAAGTTTGCACGCATATAGGACAATATCTTTGTACAGTGTTCCATTTACAGATATGACGTGGACATTTGGATAACTTGGGGCTGGACCACAGTCTACCAGTTTACATATAGGAGCGTAACCCCAAGTTGTATTAGACAAACATTCAACTGTGTAAGGATTATTGTAAGTTGTATAACCTTCGTTGCAGTGATAAACAGCATCATCACCGTATAATGTCCCAGAGTATGTTACGTTAGATCCAGTGTAAGATAACGGGGGACCACAGGACCTTCTCCCACAAAACGAATGATCGACATCCCATACACCTCCATCTAGACACGTCATAGTTTCAGACATGTTCACATTTAGTCCTCCCCCAATTGAATACCCTGTGTGACACGTGTATGTTACAGTTGAACTTAAATTCAATGTCTCGGAGCTAAGGGATATATATGCAAAGCTATCAATTGGAGGATCGCTACACGTGAGGCTTTCACACGGGGTATGAACGTCCCAAACATTATGTCTACATTGTACAACTTCATCTACTGAAGTACCACCAGCGTCAATGTAGAAGCCAGTGTTACACGTGTATTTCACACTGTAATAATAAGAAACTGTATCACCAAGGTCAGTCACCACAGCATTGATATCCTCGGGGAATGGTTGATCACATTCGTACACTACAATTACCATAGATAAAGTCATATGATATATTTGTAAATGTAAATTTTCACTTTTTGGAATATCTATAACATGTACAGGGTGTTCAGGAAATAAAGATAATAATGTCATAACCTTTTTATTTGTTCATGGATTGCATTTAGAGTTTCAGAGATTATAGTTGTAACATATTTTGATTCATTGTTGGAGTTTCAGCTTCAGACGATTATACCAGTTGGTATGTATTTCTAAAATAATGTGTTTTTATAATGTATTACTTTATTGTGAAAAAAGGTTTCATATATTTTTCAAAACATTGCTATTTTTCATTTGAATAAAGCATTCCTATGTAGACCCGAAACCGAGTGAAAAGTATGACTTCTTACGAAGACTGTGTGCATGAAATTCCTGCATGAAGTTACCATTGTACTGATAGGATAGTTTTAGGGACATGAATACAAGTAATTCAAGAAAATAAATGAAACTAATTTACTAAGTTGTGAGATTTATTGTCCCTATAGAATAACGTTTGAAACAGGTACACCATGCATCGAAAGAAATCCCCATTTCATGAAATCATAATAGAAATCAACAGAATCTAAAGAATAATCTGAATTTTATGCCGAGTAGGTCCAATAAAAATGAAAGTATCAAAGTAAACAAACGTGAACTAAAATAAACATAGTAAGGACAATGGGCATAAAAAGCACGGCTATTTCAATCGAAATCCCCTACATCCAAACAAAGAAACGTTTTTCAAAATATCCCCTTCCTCATCGCATACCAGTTAGAAAAGGGAATCCCAAAGACCGAACCACTCACAAGGGACAATCCCTTTAAACGTTTGATTTGATACCGATGAAGAATTGAACATAATGAATTCATTCAGCTTATAAAGACTAAGGGAAACCATACAACACAAGGTTAATGTGTGATATCCTTTGGTAGCAGTGATATCCTGATGATATACCGGGCTCACCTTTCTGGCAAAGGACTTTCCTGAAAGTGCCACAATCATGCGTGTGCCATATGTCTCCGTCAGATGCCAATTCAAGACAGTCGGCCCACGTATCCTCAACATCTGGCCATCTGCTCCATGAGGTGTTATATGGTGTTCCGTCGACCCACACGCTATTTGCCCAAGTGTTGGCTTCAGTTTTCTTAAGTCCGATCCAAGCGTGATCCAAACTACAATATCATTCTATGAATGTTCATCTCTCTGGTAGTAATGTACTATTAACAAAGTTGTTGATTTTCTTTCTCAGAAATATTTATTTTTATTTTTGACGTTTCGTAGGATGTCCATCCTACTTCTTCAGAAATAAAATTATATTTGAATCAAACTGAAATAATTAATTATTACATAATGTAGTAGTCTTGTAGTCAGTGTTACATTGGTGAGACAGGGCGGAGACCGCAAGGCGAGCGTAGTTTTTCCACGCTCACCGCAGAAATTCACTGATTTAATTATTCTGCGGTCGACGCACGGCCTCCGTACGACCACTGTGACCGGGGTGTTATGCGCGGGATGCATGGACTCTCATTTACGGGGCATCGAGTGAGTTGGCACCCGAATTTAAAGGAGCAACGAGACGAATGAGTACAGGGTAACGTTTTAGAAAATGTATAACAGAGCGCAAACTATTTACAGTATACACAGCAAACATTTCTCAATGTTGATTCAATGAAAAATAAACATTGATTCAACATAGGTTTTCTCAAGCATTGATTATGAAATCCATAATTGCCCTCGGGTTGATTCAGTGTTAAAACAAGCTTGATTCAAGCTTGAATTAATGCTGATTCAACTCATGGTCAATTTAAGCTCAGCTTGATATCAAGCTGTGCTTTTTCTGCCTTGATTTTAGGTTGAGGATTCATATGTTGAATGAAGCTTGATTTAAGGTTGATTAAGGATTCAGGTTTTTAATTTTGAATCAAGTTTGCTATCCGGATTGAATTAACCCCGATTTGCCAATCTTGAGAAATGTTTCCTGTGTAGCGGTATATGTAAACATATTATGGGAACTTACTCAGCCAACTCTTTCATAACTGTAAATCGTTCATCGTCTTGACTGTCTATTGCATATTTCAAGTCATAGTCCAATGTGGCACATATATCATCGTCCCATGTATGTAGATCTTCTGTTAGGAAGTATTGCACTGAAACCATGTAGGCAATAAGATGTTTGAGCTCAAAGGAATGATAAGATTAGAGAATATTTTAGGGGAGATGAAAGCATTGATCCGTAGCTACATGTACACTCCCCTCCGTAATTTTGCCAACCTCAGTTCCCCCATTGAACTACGTGTTTAAGCCTCTTTACCTTTGGATTTTTATTTACTTGACCTGCGATGAAAATACTTATAATATTGATGGAAACGTAATTTGACTTAATTTCCAATACCTCCAAATTTTCTCAATCTTTTTCCTCAATTACGATCGAATATTGATGATAAATTTGTTGAATTTTTGAAAATCGACATTCCTATGTTAACCAATGGGAAATGGTAGGTTTGCCGCAAGTCAAAGAATATCCATCCATCCGAGCCCTTGCAAAAAATACGAGTTAGGCAGGCAATTGAATTTGCTAACTTTATTTTACAAAAAATTGATATCTTTCGTCAGGTTCAACAAAGTTATAGGACTTTAAAGTCAAAATTGTTTTTGAAAAAAACTCTCACATTGAAATTACACAAGAGGCGAAAAATTATTTTCAAAAATGACTTTGAAGCGCTGTAACTTTAGTATTCATCAAATAAACAAAACACTTAGCGTACAAAAAAGTTAGACAATTCAATTTTCTATATAAACATATTTTTGCTGAATCTTTTACTGAATCTTTATCCTTGACCCATAAAACCTAGAAATGGGCACCAAAATCACTGATCTTTAGTGTTTTTGAGCTGAAATCAATATTAAAATATTTATCTTGGCACCCATTTTTGCGGCCATTTTGGATTTCTATAAAAATAATTTGATGACTCAGATTTAAACATAAATGAAATTCTTGACCCCTAAAAAGTAGACATTAGCTCCAAAATCACTGCTCTAAAGTGTTTTTGAGCTTAAATTAATAGTAACCCTACTATCACACCAAACTAGTTCTCACTACGTTCTCGAAAACGGGCTCAAACTGTGCACGAACGGAGTTGACGTACTAAGAACCTACTAAGAACCATTTGGGATCTGTTTACTAATTTCATGAAACTACTAGAACGAGTGGGTCCTCCAACACTTAGAGCATGCTCAAAATTCCGGGTGATCGTCAAAACGTTGCCGAATCGGTTTTAAACTGTGTGCGAACTGAATGAACGTAGCTACAACATTCTATGGTCTGTTTACGAACTTCATGGACTTTCCGGACGGGGTATGTGTTTTAGAATTTTGAATCGATTCAAAATTCGATGGCGACCATACCGTTCTGTAATCAGGTCATGATGACCTTCTTGATTAAGGGACGGTTTATATTACGTTGTACACCGACGTGGTGCGACCTGAACGAACTGCGAATGAGATGGACGTATTGAAGACTGTTTATGAACGAAGTGGCTAATTATTTTGGACATATATCCCGTCCGCAGCCAGATTGAGCCCGTTTTACGACATTTTCGTAGGACTGGCAAGAACGGGTAAAAACTAGTTTGGTGTGATAGGGGGGGTTACTTATTCGTTTTAGTACCCATTTTGGCAAACATATTTTGGCAATCATCGTTTGATGACTTAGATTTATACATTAATAAAATCCTTTGATTCCTAAAACCTAGACATACACCCCCCTCCATAAGTTTGGCAACCTTTTCCCCCCATTGAACTACGAGCTAAAGCCTCTTTGGATTTTTATTTACTTAACCTGCGATGAAAATACTTATGATATTGATGGAAACGTAATTTGACTTTAATTCAAATACATCCAAATTTTCTCAATTTTTTCCTCAATTACAATAGGTCGAAAATTGATGATAAATTTGATGAATTTTTGAAAATCGACATTCCCATGTTAACCAATGGGAAATGGTTGGTTTGCCGCGAGTCATATGACAGAATATCCATCCATCCGAGTCCTTGCAAAAAATACGAGTTAGGCAGGCAATTGAATTTGCTTAAAGCCCCCGATAAATCGGGCTACGTATACCGCCGTGTTTACATTAGGGGATTAGAAGAGTTTATTTTTACTTTAGGTATGCAAGCAATATCAATATTAGGCCTTCATGCATGCCCTTCAATATTATATAAGCCAGGCTATTCAAGTACAACATAATGTACACTATTTATGTGTGTACTACATTGGAATACAATTCCCTGGGAAACAAAACACAAATACTTTTTATATGTTCAAAATGAGTAATTTGATTGATGCATACACTTAATACCTTCATATATAAACATCTACAAAGTATATCTAATAGTCATTTGCCTGGTTACGATTACACGGGAAATCAACACGGGACGATAGTTGTACACCTTCCTGGCTTACCTCTGAAGCCTGTACCCTGTAATCTCTTTATATAGCTTAGCGAGAGCGCTGCGCCTGCGCAGTTTTAAATTTTGGCGCACACTTTAATTTATTTAACAAAAAATTGATATGTTTCTTCAGGTTCAGCAAAGTTATATGGCTTTAAAGTCAAAATTGTTTTACAAAAAACCTCTCCCATTGAAATAACACAGGAGGCGAACAATTATTTTCAAAAATGACTTTGAAGCGCTGTAACTTTAATATTCATCAAATAAACTAAACACTTAGTGTTCAAAAAGGTTAGACAATTCAATTTTCTATATGAAAATATTTTTTGCTGAATCTTTTACTGAAAATATATCCTGATTTATGATTTGCCCCGAACCCTCCATTTCCCATTGGATTACATGGGAATGACGATTTTCAAAAAATCATAAAATTTATCATCAATTTTCGACCTATTGTAATTGAGGAAAAAAGTTGAGAAAATTTGGAGATTTTGGAAATAAAGTCAAGTTACGTTTCCAGCAATATTATGAGTTATTATATCGTCGGTTAAGTAAATAAAAATTCAAAGGTAAAGAGGCTTTAACACGTAGTTCAATGGGGGAAAAAAGGTTGCCAAACTTATGGAGGGGAGGGTGTATCCTAAGATCAGTGTCTTTGCATCTCAGTGTGCTTAAATATACCTACAGTAACTCTGATATTGCAATACGTGCACCGGCATCAATTTTGAAAAATGGGTGATACCCTACAACTGTTTCAATGCTATCACATAGTTTCTTACTCTCATCTATGGTGAATATTCCCCTGATTTGATATCGAGTAACCCCCCCCCCCAGACTGATCGTCTAAAATTAATTAAAATGTGTTCTTTTGGTGATTTCGTTCCTTTTGTAGAAAATATTTTGCAATGTGTGAAAATAATCTCAGCCAAAGACACGACGCATTGTTGCTTTACTCAAATGCAGCTTTATAGCTTTTGGAAGCGAACATTGTTAATATCAACGCCTTTTTCAATTTACTCAATTCCTCATTTTACTTGTCTTTCTTTTAGACGAAAACACTAGTTTTTTGAACGAGATAGGTTACCAGCTATCGGAGACATTTTAAAAGGCCTGCTTTTAGCCTGATAAAATGTAGATTACCAATAACATCTACTGTCACACGATACTTCCATTACAAGTATTGATATCAATATCCTCGTATTCATTTTGTCTAAAGTAGTTACCTCTGTAGTGAATGAAGTTATCCATATTACAGTTCACCGACAACAAGATAAAATAAAAAACTTTGTAATTACTTTATTTCCCAAAAGTAACAAACTGGCACGGGCATTTTGTAAATTATGTCACCATAGCAACCATAGCTCAAACATCGTTTCATTAATGTATCTTTAAATGCAAAACATGGAAGTTCAATCTATTAACATTTTTACATGTTATATTCACAGATGGATAGTGCAATACCCTGTAAAAGCAGCGGCGGGCGATATCGTATTCATAAATTGTAATCGTTTTCAAAATCCTAATGGCATCAACTTCTGACTATCGTACCTGTGTCTCTCTACTTCAAATCACCTTGATTTTTGTCTTTTATCTGTGGCTCAACAGGAGCGGATCTGGGAATCATCAAGGTCGGAAAAAAATGTTGGGCCCCTAAAACACCAAAAGTTGGCCCAAATTTTGAGGCCCAATTTTCTTCAAAATTTGACCTGAAATTAAAAAATGAGGCCTTGCCCCCCCCCCCTCAAGATCCGCCAGTGCTCAATGTAGAGAGATAGAAAGGCACAAAGAATTATTCAAAGTTATTCATTTGAGAGACCCCCCCTCCGTAGAAATTATTGTTAAAACCATTGTTTTTGTGTCCGTAACATTTTCAATGATTATGACAATGATTGCTTTACTTTTATTAAGCGACTCAAACTGTCAATCAAATGTTCAATCAATGAAAAATAACCATTTTAATCTATAAGAGGTTTATATAGAGACTTAATATACACTCCCCTCCATGGGTTTGGCAACCTTAGCTCCCCCATTGAACTACGTGTTAAATCCTCTTAACGTTTGAATTTTTATTTACTTAACCGGCGATGATATATCTTAATTGATTGAAACTTAACTTGACTTTATTTCCAATACCTCCAAATTTCCTCATTTTTTCCCTCAATTATAATAGGTCGAAAATTGATGATAAATTTGATGACTTTTTGAAAATCGTCATTCCCATGTAATCCAATGGGAAATGGAGGTTTCGGGGCAAATCAGAAATCAGGATATATTTTCAGTCAAAGATTCAGCAAAAAAATAGTTTGATATAGAAAATTAAATTGTCTGACTTTTTTTTACTTTAAAGCCCTATAACTTTGTTAAACCTGAAGTAACATATCATTTTTTGTTAAATAAAGTTAGCCAATTCAATTGCCTGCCTAACTCGTATTTTTGCAAGGACTCGGATGGATGGATATTCTGTTATATGACTTGCGGCAAACCTACCATTTCCCATTGGTTAACATAGGAATGTCGATTTTCAAAAATTCATCAAATTCATCATCAATTTTCGACTTATTGTAATTGAGGAAAAAATTGAGAAAATGTGGAGGTATTGGAAATAAAGTAAAATTACGTTCCCATCAATATTATAGTAAGTATTTTCATCGCAGGTTAAGAAAATAAAAATTCAAAGGTAAAGAGGCTTTAACACGTAGTTCAATGGGGGAGCTAAGGTTGCCAAACCCATGGAGGGGAGTGTACATTGAGTCTGTGCCAAACTTTCCAGCTGACCGCTAAAATTCAATTATTCAGATTTTGATGTGGATTCGATTATAAAATACTTCTTAATGATATTCTAATGCTTACTATGATTTCTATTAGTAATGTTTTGAATTTCCTACTTCATAGAAAAGAACATTATCACCATTTACTAGACTCGAAAATTCACTTCCGGTCTGTCGTAATAAAGATGAGCTGAAAGTTGTCGTGAACGCCTTTCAACCATCAAACCATGAAATCTTCTCTAAAGCCCGAAAAAAAGTTTTTAACCATTTTGTCGGCTGTATGTTACAGTATGCCTTTAACTCTGTAATATATGCGAGTCTTTTAAGCTTTTTAGCGTTAAGAGTTTGTAATAAATATTTGTAATGAAACGGCGCAGAAAATGTTAACCCCCTTCGGGCAACAAAAATAACTTCAGAGTCATTAGTTAAAGGGGCAACAAGGCCTATAGAGAAAACAATGAGAAAATGTTTACTTTTTCTGAGCTATCAGGGCGACATTTGGCTTAACATCTTCTTTTTCTTAAAATGTATGGATAAATTATCAAATTCAGCGTTAAGATTAGTGTAAATTAATTTCAAAACGTCTATAAAGGGAGTCCCGGTTATAGATTTTACGATGCACCACGTTCCAAGAGGAATATCAGCTGAAATAATGTTCATCAAGGGGGTTTCTTTGGGAAATAATAAAGTTATATGTTAATCCTCATGAAACATCCAAACTTGAATATATTTTCACACTGGTCCATGATCGTTGAATGGCCCCTCTGCACTAATTGTTGCACCTTTAATGGAAAAGAGACATAAAATATGAAGTTGATTTCAATTGTTTTGATAATACGTGAAAGTATAACTGAACGCACCAAAATAGGGAATTCAATTTTAGATTTTTTCATTGGCGAGATTTTAATAGTGAATTATTTTTAAGATAACAAACCTTTTTCGTCACAGTTTTCCCCTAGCATCATCTCCGGACAATATCTGAGATCTACTCCATAAACTGTAGTCAACAGGGGACTGCTACAGTCCGGGTTGTCGCATCTGTCGGCACAAACAACTGCAAAGTTCCTGATCATTAACAGCAATATGTCCATAAGCATAGCACCTCTCCAACTGAAAAATTTCATTTTAGCCTTTTTGTAATAAATTATCCAACACTGCTTTTTGAAGAGCTTTGACCTAAGTTAATTGAATATTACCGATGATTTTATAACGATGATCATTTAAACGGATACCCCGTATATCCTCAGGGGACTTCTATTAATATTCTTTATCGATTTGTGAAGGTTTTGATTTGAGTAAACGTCCCCAGCTAACAATTTTACGTTGTGATAACGTCGTCAGAATATATGTCTCAAGTTGTAGCAACGTTAATATGGAACGTTGTAGGTACAGGAAGGTGTGGACTCGCACAGATGTTTAAAGAACGTTACATTTGACTTAAATATCACGTGTCAGGAACGTAGTAGCGACCTTAACAATTACGTCGCCAAAATAACGAAACTGTAACGTACTTACATTACGTCATATATACGTGGCCAATCTAAATTTCTGGTAACGTTGATATGGAACGTTGTAGGTACAGGAAGGTGTGGACTCGCATAGATGTTTAAAGAACGTTACATTTGACTTAAATATCACGTGTCAGGAACGTAGTAGCGACCTTAACAATTACGTCACCAAAATAACGAAAATGTAACGTACTTACATTACGTCATAAATACGTGGCCAATCTAAATTTCTGGTAACGTTGATATGGAACGTTGTAGGTACAGGAAGGTGTGGACTCGCACAGATGTTTAAAGAACGTTACATTTGACTTAAATATCACGTGTCAGGAACGTAGTAGCGACCTTAACAATTACGTCGCCAAAATAACGAAACTTTAACGTACTTACATTACGTCATATATACGTGGCCAATCTAAATTTCTGGTAACGTTGATATGGAACGTTGTAGGTACAGGAAGGTGTGGACTCGCATAGATGTTTAAAGAACGTTACATTTGACTTAAATATCACGTGTCAGGAACGTAGTAGCGACCTTAACAATTACGTCACCAAAATAACGAAAATGTAACGTACTTACATTACGTCATAAATACGTGGCCAATCTAAATTTCTAGTAACGTTGATATGGAACGTTGTAGGCACAGGAAGGTGTGGACTCGCACAGATGTTTAAAGAACGTTACATTTGACTTAAATATCACGTGTCAGGAACGTAGTAGCGACCTTAACAATAACGTCGCCAAAATAACGAAACTGTAACGTACTTACATTACGTCATATATACGTGGCCAATCTAAATTTCTGGTAACGTTGATATGGAACGTTGTAGGTACGGGAAGGTGTGGACTCGCATAGATGTTTAAAAAACGTTACATTTGACTTAAATATCACGTGTCAGGAACGTAGTAGCGACCTTAACAATTACGTCACCAAAATAACGAAAATGTAACGTACTTACATTACGTCATAAATACGTGGCCAATCTAAATTTCTAGTAACGTTGATATGGAACGTTGTAGGTACAGGAAGGTGTGGACTCGCACAGATGTTTAAAGAACGTTACATTTGACTTAAATATCACGTGTCAGGAACGTAGTAGCGACCTTAACAATTACGTCGCCAAAATAACGAAACTGTAACGTACTTACATTACGTCATATATACGTGGCCAATCTAAATTTCTGGTAACGTTGATATGGAACGTTGTAGGTACAGGAAGGTGTGGACTCGCATAGATGTTTAAAGAACGTTACATTTGACTTAAATATCACGTGTCAGGAACGTAGTAGTGACCTTAACAATTATGTCACCAAAATAACGAAAATGTAACGTACTTACATTACGTCATAAATACGTGGCCAATCTTAATTTCTGGTAACGTTGATATGGAACGTTGTAGGTACAGGAAGGTGTGGACTCGCACAGATGTTTAAAGAACGTTACATTTGACTTAAATATCACGTGACAGGAACGAAGAACCAACCTAAACGATGACTTCGCCAAAATAACGAAAATGTAACGAACTTACATTACGTCATAAATACGTGGCCAATCTAAATTTCTGGTAACGTTGATATGGAACGTTGTAGGTACAGGAAGGTGTGGACTCGCACAGATGTTCAAAGAACGTTACATTTGACTTAAATATCACGTGCCAGGAACGTAGAACCAACCTAAACGATAACTTCGCAAAAATAACTGTAATGTGCTTATGCAACGTCACATATACGTGGCCAGTTTTAAGTTCTGGTACGTTAATTATGGAACGTTGTAGGTACAGGAAGGTGTGGACTCGCACAGATGTTTAAAGAACGTTACATTTGACTTAAATATCACGTGCCAGGAATGTAGAACCAACCTTAACAATGACTTCGCAAAAATAGTGAGACTGTAATGTGCTTATGCAACGTAACATATACCTGGCCAGTTTAAAGTTCTGGTAACGTTTATCTTGGAACGATGTAGGCACAGGAAGGTCTGGACTCGCACAGATGTTTATACAACGTTACATTTTACTTAAATATCATGTGCTAGGAATGTAGTAGCAACCTTAACAATGACTGCAAAAATAAAATGACAGACTGTAACGTGCTTATGCAACGTCACATATACGTGGCCAAGTTAAAGTTCTGGTTACATTAATTATAGAACGTTGTAGGCAAAGGAAAGTATGGACACGCATAAATGAGTATACAAGTTACGTTCGACTTAGATATCACTAGCCAGGAATGTAGTACCAACCTTAACAACGACTTTGCCAAAATAAAGAGACTGTAACGTGCTTGTCACATACATTGCAAATTCATAACTTCTGGTTACATCAAGTTAGGACAACACATGCAAGGAATGTTCTAGTAACCTTAATTATGACATCAACAAGATATAGTGATAGTAATGACTAACGTCCAGTTAAATGAATCATTACATGAACATATAGCTAATTTAAAGTTCATGTACAGGAAGATGTAGACACCGATGTTCAGTAAAATTATATATAACACACTAAGCCTAACATTTTCACATGTGAAGGTAAAACACAACTAACTTATGCTTTGACTTATTAACAAATGTATATTGTTTTTCCAATAATTAATGAGTTAATACACAAGAACTTTTTTGAGCATCCAAATAGAGAATATTGACACACAGAATTGAACTTAAATATAATCACAGTCTCGTATGTCATCTATCAAAAATCTATCCTATCTTTAATAAGTTTTATTAAGTATTTTATTAACCCCTAAACGGTTAACGGGGTGGGGAGATTTGCCGTTCTGGCTTGTCTTAAAATTAAATTAGGCATATTTTAACTAATAAATTGTGACTAACCCCCCCCCCCCTTAGAAATGATAAACCCCCATGTTTTTAAACTATGAATTTCTTCATAAATAATGGCTCAATATAGTTATAAGAAAACTCAAAATACTGGGAGTTTAATACTTGTTACCTTTCCAATGATACCTAATACGTTATTTAATGGGAGATTTTTGATAGAGGGTATATCTGAGGGAAATACAATATATCTACCTGAGGGACCGTAGGTTGATATATTGTATTTACTGAGGGATATACACTGTATCAAAAATCGAGCATTTAATAACTGATTTATTTAGTAGATTATGAGAATTAAATATGCATTGAATGTTAGGGAACCCTAATGTAGTAATTCAAACGATAATTAAAATCAAAACATGAATATTTTATTCAAAGGCCTCAAAGATTTTTTTAAACTCAACAGCTTTTAACATTTTATAGTGTATGAAATTAATATTTATCAAAGATAACCAAAGTATAACCCGGGAATTCAAAAAAAGCACTGAAAAGAAATTCCAAGGGATTGCTGATGAGCGGATGATATATATATCTCCCGCTCACCTCAGATATCAATTATATTCCTGCATGTTATTTACCTATAACACTACTAAGTACGGGATTAACACTTGTATGATATTTCGATATTTCATTTCCGAGATTGTGCCCAGATCTCGGCAGATCTATTCACCCCCTTTACTATGAATGTAATTATCTATAGCCTGACTGTTTAGGGGTTATATTGTTATTTTTCTGAACATGAATGAATAAATATTCTAATTTGAGCTTGAACAAATGCTCTATTAGTTAACATGGTATTGATTTTCAAAAAGCAATAATGACCATTTTAAGTTGGGAATAAATCTAGAAAAATTGCATGTTTCAGATATGAAGCCATTATATCTATGCAATATTAAAAGTACTGTCCCATTACTTGTTATAGAGATAAAAATTTAATTCAAACTGGCTTGCTTCTCGGAACAGATATTGTTTATGCTAAGTTTTCATTTTTCCTTGAAAGCATGAGCTCTCATTGGTCCTCATCACTTTCCAAATGTTTCTTCAAATGACTTGTACAGCTCAGTCGTTGTTTCCCTGGTTGCATGTTTAACACATTGCCATTTCTGCTTGTTTTTGGACATTTTCCTGGAAAAAATCAATCTATTGAAAAGTATGAAATGTAACCTGTATACCCATACCCACTCTGTATATTTTGCAGTGTCATTTTCAACCAAAATTGACCTAGCAATCTATTCTTTACAATCTCAGATACAATATGTCTCAAAGGTCTACAATGTGTTGTAAATCAGTAAGTTATTGAGGATTAAGAGTGCGAAAATCGGAAAAATGTTTAAATTCTTCCAAATATAAATATGGAAGCCATATATACAGGGTGGGCCAAAAAAATGTGCAACTTTTTTAGAAGGCAAAAAAAGTATCATAACAATATAGTATTGACATGAAATTTTTTTTACAGAAACTTGAGGATAGGCATATTTTACCATTTAAATACTTAAGCTAATACTGACTTCAAATTTTTTTGTCAGATGTTTGAATATTAGTGGTAAATTGTTCATGTGTCCGAGATTTACCAATTTTCCTAAAAAATGTGATTTTCTATAATTTTTTGTGATCATCAATAGCACATTTATTATGTTCACTAAATCTGCTGCAATCTTTGTTAACTGGTGTATTGAGCAGCTATTCATTAGGACTAATAAATCAAGGGGTATTCTCCTCCAGATATTCCGTACTGACTTTTGCCCTATGGCTGGGAGCACTATCCTGCTGGAATAAGTAATGACC